ACCTAGGGACTCTATAAACTGACGTCCAAAAGAAACTTTACCAGAGTTTGAAATCACTCTTGCTCAAAAACAACAAAACATACATGCATGAAGTAAAGTGTATTGAGAAGATCAATATATCAACATAATCAACACTGAAAATGACAATCATACCGCGACCGAGAATGACGTCAGAGCCCCCCAAAGTTGGCTGTGGTACAAAACTCGAGCCTTCAGATTCATGGACAATAGGCAGAGTACATAAACAATCGCTCACGTTCAATAACAAGTCACTAGTAGCGTGTGTGACCACCAAATGCCTTAATAGACGCTCTTCGACGCACAGAAAAAGTCAGTCGTCTGATGAGGTCACGTGGGATTTGACGCCATTCTTCTTGGAGGGCCAAGATCAGTTCTTGCCGGTTGGCTGGAGAGTGTGGTCGTTGTCGAACACGACGATCCATCAAGTTGGTAAAGTTTCTTTTGGACGTCAGTATATAAAGAGGATATGGAATAAGTATTCGAATTTCAATACAAGCTAGTTGTCATCTTGATGCTTCAGTTGCTATTTGCACTGTGTCACTATGTCGAATATGTCACCATGTCTGATGGGGGCATTTACGGATAAATACCATATTCGACATTATAAGCGCACGGGGCGCTCTCAAAATTAGAAATAGGGGGCGCTTATTAGATAATTATTTTGGTGAGAAAAAAAAGAGTTGAAAGATCGTAAATTTCGTGGTTAATGCTGACAGCCTGAAATGTTTATATACGACAGATGTATTTTTGCAAGAATTTTAATTTCCCATAATTAAAGATTCATATAAGACACGTATTACACGTGAATAAATAAGTCTTGTGTACATTGATCAAACGGAAGGGGTGCTAATTGGGATTGTTCACTAGCCAATATATTAGAAGATATCGCCGTGGGCGCTTATTAGAGAGGGCGCTTATTACGTCGAATACGGTTCTCAATTTTCAGTGATCCATTCATGCAATGATCGTCACCAATGTGTCTTCTATGCGCACATTCGTCACCACTCGCCCCTTTCCGTAACCTGCAAGAAGACTCGTCCCCCTATCGATGAATGTTATGTGCGAAAATACGACAAACCAATCATGATTTCAAGTTCTTCGTCAAAGAATCCCTCAGAAATAATTTTGATTTTACATATGTCTTGCATCTAAAAATATACCAAAGACACAGTTAAATGTGTTCAATCATACTGTATAATTCGGGAAAGCCCGATGTGCTGTAAATTGCATCTGAAATATATATAATATATGGGGAAAATGTGTGAACCATTACGCAACGAGTTGACAATTGTTTTAGGTATGCCCGTTTGCGCAAAGACGGAACCCGGTCGCAAAAATGGCCACGAGGGGCACGTGTCGCTTTTCGGCTTGTCCCGGAATAACACTAGTTGGTCACGAATGGAATGCTACGCGCAGTGCAATCGTCTTGGGTAGATAATCGTGACCGATTATACTCTAGCGTTGACCTTTACCTCTTTCTCAAATGCAAACCATTGATTGTTGAATATCACAGACACCAATTCGTGTACATTTATTCGTGTATGATACGCACTCGTGTGTTATATGCACCTTTAATTACGGGCAATTAAATTCTGGAAAAATATATCTGTCGTTTATAATACGCACAGACTTTTCTTTTGTATCATTTCAGGCTGTCAGCAGAAATCATAAAATTTACCCTCTTTCGACTCTTTCACCAAAATTATATTCTAATAAGAGGCCCTATTTCTAATTTTGATAGCGCCCTGGGCGCTTATTACGTCGAATACGGTATGATGCTTGTGATGGTATAACTAAATCATAACGACACGGCCAATAAATCCTTTTTTGACAAACCCCTTTTATCAGTGAGCTGTCATGAGAAACGTGTATTTGGCTGTTCTAAGACAGAATAAATACTTCAGAAATATATTAAAAATGTTTGACAATACTCGTGCTCGTGGGTTTCGCAGAAGTGGTAAACGTCTGAGATCTGCATCACTTCGGGCTTTCCTCCCACATTAAGCTGACACGCCGTGATATAACTGGAATACTGTTAAAAGCGGCGTTAAACCCAAATCACTCACTCACTCACTGACTCACTGATAAAAACATCAAGGTAAGCTACAGACCCAAATAAATAAATATTATTTTACGCAAAATCATCAATTTTACAGCACGAGATCAGGTTGATACTAAAATTTGAAATGCAATAAGTGCAGTCAAATATCACAGAAACGAAAAAAGTTTGAACTGTTGAGGGGGGGGGGGGGTCGTCTAGGGGGGCACGGGTGGCCCAGTCATCGCCCGGTTCGCCCCGCCGATAATGTGTCTAGGTTTGTCAGCACCATACCCGTGCTCGTGGGTTTCACCAAAGTGGTAAACGTCTGAGACCTGAATTCACTTCGGGCTTTATTTACACGTCATGATATAACTGGAATTGTTATAAGCGGCGCTAAACCCAACCCACTCACTCACCAAGTCGTGTTAGGCGCCGCAATTCTATATACAGAATTGCGTCCCACAAAGCCACATGAGGAAGTTCACCATGAGATACGGGATAGAATAGGTCTTCAGCAACCCATGCGTGCCGTAAGAGGCGACAATGATTATCGCCAGAAGCGACTAAATGGATATGGCGGTCAGGCTCGCTGACTGGTTGATGCATGTCATCGTATCCCAATCGCGTGGATCGATGCTCATGATGTCAGTCGCTGGATTGTCTGGTCCAGACTCGATTATATACAGACCGCCGTCATAAAGCTGGAATATTGCTAAGTGTGTGGTGTGGTGTGGTGTGGTGTGGTTTTGGTGTGGTGTAGTGTGGTGTGGTGGGGTGGGGTGGGGTGGGGTGGGGTGGGGTGGTTGGTGGTTGGAGGAGGGGTTTGTAGCCTTCGCTACACGAGTTCGCTCGTCACGCCGAAGACCCGGGTTCGATTCCCATCATGGGTACATTGTGTGAAGCCCATTTCTGGTGTCTCCCGCCGTGATATTGCTGGAAAATTGCTAAAAGCGGCATTTGACAATTATCAGTCGGCTCCACCGGAACAATTTGAAGAAGATATGGCAGATATCATACTTATGTGTCGACATCTGGTGTAGTCAAAACACCTTTTTTGAAAATAAATTTGATTCCATTTCCAAGTACATGTTTACAAATATATAAAGTGGGAGAATACATTTACATTCAAGGTAGAAGACATAATTAAAACAAACTAGCGGCGGAAGGCCTGTCCACAGGGTTTGAGGTGAGGTGAGGTGAAATTGAGTTTAACGTCGCGTCCAAGATTATTGCACTCATATAGCGATGTGCATGCACGTGTATGTGTGTGTGTGGCTGCTTGTACTAGTCCGGACTGATGCCGATTTATAGTGCTAGCTCACTGAGATACCATGCCGCAGTTTAACATGAATACCCCACTCAGACACAGTATACTGACTCCGAGCCGACCAGTCCTTGTTTAAGCCCCTTAATGCCGAGCGCCAGACAGGGTAACAACAAGTACAATCTTTTAACGTCTTTTTGTATGACGCGGCCCGGGATCGAACCCTGGACCTTCCGCTCGACGGGCGGACGCTCTACCACAAGACCACGGAGGCGGTCCCCACAGGGTTTGAAGTGGACAGGGGGCGGTTGTGTAGCCTAGTGGTTAAAGCGTTCGCTCGTCACGGCGAAGACCCTGGTTCGATTCCCGACATGGGTACAATGTGTAAAGCCCATTTCTGGTGTCCCCCGCCGTGATATTGCTGGAATATTGCGCAAAGCGGCGTACAAACATACTCACTTTACTTGAAGTGGACTGGACTTATATTATATTATATAAAATATTTTATGAACGCTTCGCTGGTTATCGTGACCATGATGAGGTGAGGTGAAATGGTGTTTGACGTCGCGTCAGAGATTATTGCACTTATAAAAACGACCTGCATGTTCGCGCGCGCGCACGTGTGTGTGTCAGATTGTACGAATCTGGACTGAAGCCGTTTTATTAGTGCTAGCCCACTGAGATACCATGCCGCAGTTAACGTGAATAGGTGAGATGAGGTGAAATTGGGTTTAACGTCGCGTCCAAGATTATTGCACTTATATAGCGACGTGCATACACGTGCGTGTGTGTGTGGCTGCTTGTACAAGTCCGGTCTGATGCCGATTTATAGTGATAGCACACTGAGATACCATACCGCAGTTTAACATGAATACCCCACTCAGACACAGTATACTGACTCCGAGCTGACCAGTTCTTGTTTTAGCCCCTTAATGCTGAGCGCCAGACAGGGTAACAACAAGTACCACCTTTAAACGTCTTTTGGTGTGACGCGGTCGGGAATCGAATCCCGGGCCTTCCGCTCTCCGGGCGGACGCTCTACCACTAGATCACAGAGGCGGTCTGTTAACATGAATACCCCACACGGACCGGGCGAAAACGGCACCGATTGGCGAAAACGGCACCTCGACTCAAGCGAAAACGGCTACGATTGCCTGGCGAAAACGGCACCTTATTTTTTTTTTACCTTGGTCAAAAAAGTGCTATTAAACTTATATGGTAACTTGCAAACACCAATATAATTGTGAGATGCTAAAACAAGTTTACATTAGCCTCTACTCCAACTATAATCCAACTTAGCTTATACACAACACAACATATTGTGAAAACATGACATGCTTTGAAGAAAAATAATAGAAATTAAACTCACGTCGTCTTTACAAACACAAATAACTGTGAAATTGTGAAATAAAACAAGTAAGAAATTAGACCCCTACTCCAATTTACTCGCCGACTGATTGGGAGGCGCAGTTAACTTAATGTGAAAACACTATACGCTTTATCGATTATGTTGATGTTGTTTTCAGAAACATTCCGAATAAACTTTAAGTTTCTTAAGTTTACAGATTGATGAGAAAAAGAAAAAGACTAAGCTTTTCAGGGATTCGATACCTAAACGCTAACTGCCAAGAGCAGAATATTGCCAACGCATCGAGGATCGCCAAGATTTATGCCCCTTTGCTCCGCGCGCGCTGTATCAAAACGAGGCTAAAAAGGCAAATTCTTTCTCTTTGAAATAATTGTTGAAAGTAATTGTGAAGCTTGATTCATTGAAGACATGAATAAGCACATGATGTAAGTATTACGGTGATCATGTAGCGTCCTTAATTACACCAGATTTCATCAGGGAAAAGAGACGGAAATGCTGAAATGCGGAACTTCGCGTCTTGTTCAGTTTTCGATCACCTTACATGCTTAAAATTTGGTTTACTCGTACTGATATGTAACTTGAATGGTAACAGGGGTATGTTGGTGATTGCATATTGGCAGATTGGTCACGCAACCTAGCTGTATGTTGGTGATTACATATTTGAAGATTGGTCACGCAACCTAGCTGAATAATTGAGACTTCCAAAAACGTAAATCACACTCATTAATCAACATGGATGTGGAGACAGTGTTAGAAATTGGCACTGGTCCTATAGTCGTTGCCAAACAGCTCAATAGTTAAGGACCATTAGAAATTTGCCTTTTTTTAGGGTTTTGCTATATATGTTATCATTATAAGGACTTGTGTATCAAACCTGTAGTTTCTACTGCTGAAATTATCCTATTCATGCACCAGTGCAACACGCGGCTCTGGGTTTTTTAAAAGGGGTCTGGAGTGTCACTTTTTGAATTGTAACTTTGGGGAGAATGTCATATATTGAATATTTCATCCAGTTTTTGTATTTTTAGTAGATTTGACATGAACCATATGATTTATGTGAACATTTAGAAGAACTGACTCCGAGACATGAATGTAAAGCATATTTACTTTCATTACAGTTTGGGGCAGTAAAACATATATAGTAACACGATTCAAGCATATAGAAGAGAAAGTAGGAGAGGTTGATGCATGTCATCATATCAGATAGGTCTTCACCAACCCATGCTTGCTGTAAAAGGCGACTATGGTCGTCCTAAGAGGCAATGGGATCGGGAGTTCAGGCTTGCAGACTTGGTTGATGCATGACATCGTATCCCAAATGCGTAGATCGATGCTTATGATGTCAATCACTGGATTGTCCGGTCCAGAATCGATTACTTACAGACCTCCGTCATATAGCTGGAAAATAATATTGTTAATCCTTTTGCTGAGAGCGTTAAACAACAATAAAAAAAACCAAACTTTTCTGAACATATAGGTAAGTTGTTCATCTGACAAATATTAATATTTCATAACAGTCAATTTTACTCTTCATATTTAAATAAATATTTTCCTATCTAATGAAACCAAGCAAAATTCTGAACTCATTTCATTCAAACGATAAAAGTTGTCGATAATGGATTATTTTGAATGTTTAGACAATTTGTTTCCTATGATGCTTTTAATTCATGATGATGTGGTGTCTGCTATAACTGGTTGCCATGGCAGCCATTATCTGTATGTTACCGATTCCACAACTCACAATTATCACTAGGAATACCTTGCTGAAACCCATATACCGTATTCGACGAAATAAGCGCCCAGAGTGCTCTCAAAATTAGAAATAGGGGGCTCTTATTAGAATATATTTTTGGTGAAAGAGTTGAGAGATCTTAAATTTCATGGTTTATGCTGACAGCCTGAAATGATACAAAAGAAAAGTCAGTGAGTATTATACACGACAGATATATTTTTTACAGAATTAAATTGCCAGTAAGTTAGGGTGCATATAACACACGAGTGCGTATTATACACGAATAAATAAGTCTTGTGTAAGGGGTGCTAATTGGGAATGTTCACTTGCCAATATATTAGCAAATATCTCAATGGGCACAAGTATCGTGCAATGGATGAAAATATTTACGTTTTAACTACTCATTTTCACTAGTAATTAGTGTTTGGTGTAACATTTATTAATGAATACATTTAACGTAAGGCTCGATACTTTTCACTATGTGTGCGATTGTGATCGATACTTGTATCAAGAAGTAAAAATCGCGATGGATCGGTGCATCGTTCCACCACTAGATATTACCATGTTGAATTAACTATAATTTAGGTGAATAATTTCGTTTTATTTTATTTATTTCAGATATGCTAAACCCATGGAATATAGTGATCTAGTGTTGCTTGAGGTTAACATGTGAAAGATGGTGATCTATTGCGTAGCCTATGGATGCTACAACTGTGAAAATAGGAAAAAGCCAAAACCAGGCAAACGAGTCTCCTTCCACCGACTTCCATTCAGTGACCCTGACCTTCTCACAAGATGGATCAAGGCCATCAACAGAGCGGATCTCCCTCTCAGCAATAGTACACTCCTCTGTAGCGAACACTTTGAGCCGTCATGCCTCACTCGGAGCCTCGGCGGGACACGGCGCCGACTGAGACCCGGATCGGTCCCATCCAGATTTAACTTTGACAGGAAGCTGTCCAAACCTACCACGAAGAAGCTTGCATTCGTGGAGGGGGAGAGTGAGTGTGGGTTCAACGTGGCCTGTGGACATGGAGGCGGGTGTGTGTGCGGCAATCAGAGGACTCAGTCCGAGGAGGACTATGCTGTGTATAAGTGTGGACAGATCATTAGTGAGCTGAAGGAGAAGATTGAAGGATTAAAGAAAGACAAAAGGCGTGTTCTGTACTTGAAACAAAAAGCCGAAGCGATGCTGCAAATATATTTCTGATACATGCTTTGAAATGAAAATAAACCTTTGTCATGTTTTATGAGGTGTCAGAATATCCTTGTCAGGGTTAGAAACTAACAGTTTTCGTCCACTAGTCCTTATAATGATAACATGTAGAAAAACCCTTAAAAATGGCAAATTTCAACTAGTCCTTATGATACCTTTGCCATTGGGCAGTTTGGCAAGGACTATAGGACTAGTGCCAATTTCTAACGCTGCTTGTGTGTGCACAGGACAGGGTTTACACTTTAACACTTTTTTAGTAAAGTACAGATTCTCATACTTTTTTGGGTTGAGTTCCATCCGGGATTCGAACCCACACTGCCAGAGTGAGGCACCTAATCGCCAGCACACAAAGTCAGCGATCTAACCCACTCAGCCACCGAGGCTTCCACTAAAATGAAACTCTGACAACTGATAGTCTAGATCACATACTTTGTGTTCCCCTCTGACAAGTGTAAATTGGCACATTGAATACACAATGCCATTTAGAAAGTGGTCAAATGTAACAAATGTTATTACTTCTTTTGGCTAGTATGGAATACAACTCATGACTAGAAATTGAACATTTATTAACAAGTGTCAAATATAATGTGAAGAATCATTTTCCAATTTGATTGCGAGACTTAAGTCTTCTGGAGGGATGTTCACACGTATATCTGTCCCGAGCTAGAGTCAGCCCCGGAGGACACGAACAATGATAGCCGCCATATTTGTTGTGGCACGTGTGACTGCATCGGTGCCTACCTGAACACTCGTTCACATCTGAAATTAAAAGGAATTGTGAAATGAGTGAGAGCATTGTTGCAGTCTGATTAATAATTTGTTTGTTTGTTGTTAAATGCCGCACTCAGCAATATTCCAGCTTTATGACAGGGGCCTGTAAATAATTGAGTCTGGACCAGACAATCCAGAGATTGACATAATGAGCATCGATCTAGGCAAGTGGGATACGATGACATGCATCAACCAAGTCAGCGAGCCTGACCACCCAATCCCGTTAGTCGCCTGTTACGACAAGCATAGTCGCCTTTTAACGCCTATTTACAGATGTGCATTTTATTGCAATGATTTGTGCAGAATCATTCACGCAAAGTGTTGACAGCTGTCAGATGCACATCTGCGTGTTGACATCACGTGACAGTCACGCGATGCAAAATCATGCCTCTAAAACTGAAGAGTGCTAATTCACTTTACTAAGCTAAACATATGACATGATAATGTGTAATTGGCAAAGAGACATATAGCAGACCTTTCAATGACAGATATATGTGTTATCCTTGTGTCTTCAGTAAACAGGACTGGTTGATTATTACGTATAGAACTGGTATTGCGCTTGTGCTAAGGTCTGACATACCCTATTCAATGTAATAAGGGCCCAGGGAGCTCTCAAAATTAGGGGGCTCTTATAAGAATATAATTTTGGTGAGAAAAAAAAAAGAGTTGAAAGATCGTAAATTTTGTGGTTTATGCTGACAGCCTGAAATGATACAAAAGAAAAGTCTGTGCATATTATACATGACAGATATAGTTTCCAGAATTTGATTGCCCATAATTAAGGGTGCATATAACACACGAGTGTGTATCATACGCAAATAAATAAGTCTTGTGTACATTGATCAATCGAAAGCGTGCTAATTGGGATTTTTCGCTAGCCAATATATTAGCAAATATCGCCGTGGGCGCTTAATACGTCGAATACGGTATGTCAGATCTTATTGAGAGAGAACAAGCGCAATACCAATATAAGCATATTACATGACGTGACATTGTTAGAACGGTGGACATTTAATAACCTTGCCCCCTCCCCCCCAGCTGTGTTTATAATAATGTCGTGTCTCACCTAGCTGGCAGATGACCCCCTGAAACTGGGAGGGACACACACATCGGTGGTTCTCGCAGTGACCCCCGTTCCGACACTCGGGCTGACACGTGGTATCTGAGGGAGGAAGCAGATTGTACAGAAACTCCCCATCCTCATCCATGACTGGAGCAAAAATGTCACCTAATATTTATTGTTTAGTTCAATAATATGTTTGTTTGTCTGTTTGTCTGTTTAATGTTTGCAATATTCCAGCTGAGTGAGGGTGGCATGTACAGACAATCCAGTGATTGTTAAAATGTTAGTGTGACCAACGATCCACGTCGTCAGGGTAAGATGACACACTATGAGGTGAGGTGAAGTGAGGTGAGGTGAGGTGAGGTGAAATGGGGTTTAACGTCGCGTCCAAGATTATTGCACTTATATAGCGACGTGCATGTACGTGTGTGTGTTTGTGTGGCTGCTTGTACTAGTCCGGACTGATGGCGATTTATAGTGCTAGCTCACTGAGATACCATGCCACAGTTTAACATGAATACCCCACTCAGACACAGAATACTGACTCCGAGCCGACCAGTCCTTGTTTTAGCCCCTTAATGCCGAGCGCCAGACAGGGTAACAACAAGTACCATCTTTTAACGTCTTTTGGTATGACGCGGCCGGGGATCGAACCCCGGACCTTCCGCTCTCAGGGTGGACGCTCTACCACTAGACCACGGAGGCGGTCGACACACTACGAATGAGTCACCAAACCTGACCCCAAATCAGTAAGTCAACCAGCATAGGTTGTGGGGAACAAATTTTATCCAGCATCCCCATGAAATATTTTGTTTGTTTGTTGTTTAATGCTGCACTCGGCAATATTCCAGCTATATGACAGCGGTCTGTAAATAATCGAGTCTGGACCAGACAATCCTGTGATTGACATCATGGGATTTGATTCGGATTTGATGACATCCATCAACCAAGTCAGCGAGTCTGACCACCCATCCCGTGAGTTGCCTATTACGACAAGCGTAGTCACCTCTTACAGCAAGCTTGGGTTGCTGAAGACCTATTCTAACTCCGAGACAGACACAGGTCCCATGGGGGAGTGAGGGTAGGATACCTGATATTGCTAAAAGCGGCGTAAAACCATACTCACTCACTCACTACAACAGCCTTGACTCAAGAAGATGCTACACTTACTCATGCAGGACCTGTTGTCCCCCCTCAGTCGAGAGCCTGGGGGACAGATACATGCGTAGCCTCCGTAAGTGTTGCGACAGTAGAACTCACACAGGCCACGCCCACCAGCGCACTCATCTATATCTGGGGAAACAAGGTCATATTAAACTACAAATAGGCTTTGCAATTGTTTATTACATAATTTTGAAAAAATAATTATTATAATGTTGATTTCAATTTACAAGTTTTTTTCTATAAATTAAATGCACATATTCCGCAGGGTCGGCCAGATCATACCGAAACATGTTAAAAGATTGTACCGTATTCAATGTAATAAGCGCCCTGCTCTAATAAGCGCCCACTGAGATATTTGCTAATATATTGGCTAGTGAACAATCCCAATTAGCACCCCTTCCGATTGATCAATGCACACAAGACTTATTTATTCGTGTATAATTTGCACCCGGTTGTTATATGCACCCTTAATTATGGGCAATTAAATTCTAGAAAATATATCTCGCGTGTATAATACGCACAGACTTTTCTTTTGAATCATTTCAGGCTGTCAGCATAAACCACAAAATTTACGATCTTTCAACTCTGTTTTTTTTTCTCACCAAAATTATATTCTGATAAGGCCCCCTTCCACCACCCCCCTCCCCCCCTCATCTATTTTTGAGAGCGCCCTGGGTGCTACATTGAATACAGTATTTGTTGTTTTGCTGCTTGGTGCTTGGCATTTAAGGGTGGAAACAAGGAATGGTCACCTCCGAGTCGACATACTTTGAGTGGAGGGTATCTAAGTTAAACTGCAGCATGGTATCTCAGTGGGCTAGCACTATAGAACTGGCAATAGTCGGACTTGTACAAGCAGCCACACACAAAGATACATGTACTTTACTAAATAAAAGCAATAATCTTGAATGTGGCATGAAACCCCATTTCTCACATCATCATCATCATCATCATCATCATCATCATCATCATCATTTGATCCTTACTTTGTTAGCTGATTGGTTGGTGATTGAAATACAAATCTGAAATGTCTTTTTAAGAATTGATCTCTTGAAAGTAGAAAGACAGTCGTGTGAAAAAATGAGAAATTTGGAGTAAGAAGACATACTGACATTCTGATAATAATCCACTTCAATTTTTTCCTAGAAGAAGATAAAAGACAAACACAAAATTTCTGCTTGAATTCATGAAACTCACTAAGATAACTTTGTAGGAAACTTACCACTCTCACATAAATCTCCCGTAAAGCCAGAGGGACACACGCACACGCCGCTGTTGCTGCATCTACCGCCGTTCAGGCAGTCGGGCACACATCTCAACACTGAAACCAGATGCCATGGTATCTATTGTCCAAAAAATAAAGATTCAAACAAAATCTTTGCCGTTTATATACTGAACAAACAAGTCCATTTGCATAATATTATCTTTTAATTCTGCACTGATGAGGATGGTAGTTTACTGTTCAGTGTTGTGCCAGGGCTATTAAACTGATTGTGTATACCTACCCTGCACTGATGAGGATGGTAGTTTACCTGGCTCACCTAAGCATGTTCTCTTGTCACTGTTCAGTGTTGTGCCAGGGCTATTAAACTGATTGTGTAAACCTACCCTGCACTGATGAGGATGGTAGTTTACCTGGCTCACCTAAGCATGTTCTCTTGTCACTGTTCAGTGTTGTGCCAGGGCTATTAAACTGATTGTGTATACCTACCCTGCACTGATGAGGATGGTAGTTTACCTGGCTCACCTAAGCATGTTCTCTTGTCACTGTTCAGTGTTGTGCCAGGGCTATGGGCGATCTTTTTGTTCCAAAGGACGATAACTCTCCTTTTGAAATGATATAAGCGACGGTCCAACCTGTCGCTTCCGGTCTGGTTCCCGGATCAATAAGCGCTGCGACAACTACTGACATGTAGAGACGGAGCCAAGCTAAAGAGTTATCCTGTTGCACCTTCGTTCAAAAACGGTCGTTTACAACTGAATATTTTTAACTAGCACATATTTTGTAGTGATTATTAGTTTATATTATCAACATGTGTTGAGTCTTCAACTACAAGACGAATTGTCACTTTGGAATATAGCGGGGAAAACGTCATGAAAAATGGTATATTGCCACGGTATTTTCTACGTCAGAAAAGAGCGAGGCATTAATCGGTCTGGGCTAACATATTGCATCGATGAAATAATGCAAACTCATTTTATTTATCAGCCTTTGTGTTATTACCCACAACAATTCAAGCATTCAAATCTCAACAAATACTACCATGGACTTCAATGTAATAAAATTAGAGATACGCCAACATTTGCAGCACACAGACATCTTTGACAGGCCTTTACCAATGATCTATATAGTAAGTATACATCCCTGCCTTTACAAATATTTTAAGAAGAAATAACGTTCAAAATAATAAAACAACTGATTTTAAATGTTACTTTTTTTATATCAAAGTTAAAGTTGCATCTGAATATTTAAATTTATATTATTTTTGTAGAAATAGGCCTCATGAACATCTACCATGCAGCTATTAAGCACTCAGTTACTCAGTTGCAATATGCATACTAGTCATCATACTTTGAAATAAGAGATTTACCCATATTATTCTGCCCCTTATAACATGTGTCCCATCATTAAGTGCTCTGAGTCATCACAGGTGTTAATTCATTGATCCATCATTTCTTACAGAATTCTGATACTCATGCTCTTAAAATAGTAGTTAATTACAGAGATTTGTCCCAACAAACAACAAATCATACTGAATACCCCACAAAATGTGTATGATGCATAAATAGATCTAAATCAAAGTTTTATCTTCTTGTTTTAGTAACATTATATTTTTTTTAATGTTGACAAATTTCCCATACAAACCCACACACTATCCTGCTGTATCTAAGTATCCTGATTTTCATTCAACAGTACTTCAAGACACCTGTATTTTAAAGTATATTTTGTAGTTATTATTATCATATAGCAAATATGAATTTTATATGAAAATATGAATATGAAAGTTTATCATCAAATCTTCTGATAGTTAAATAAATGGAAATTGAACCCCACACTCATTCCATGTAGATAAATGGATTTATTTATGTTATTTGTTTTTGCATATACCAGATTATACTTACATATGTTACTGTCAGTGTCTATAATCAGGCCCAATATGTATTTTGACTGAACATTTCAGTCAATATGCATATTTACTGATTCACTCAGGTAAGGTATATTTTTTCTTAAATTTTCATTCATTTATTATTGACTAAAAATAGGACCGGATTTTAGACAGACTGGCTGAAATGTATAGACTGCATAATTTAATCTTCTCAAATTAATTTGGATCTAGTTTGATCTTATCAAGATCAAAGTAACTTATGTAAGAAATTAAAAATGTTTTCACAATGAATTGATTGATTCTCCAAACCTGAAAGAATACAAGAGTCCCAATACTAGTACACATGCACAAGTGTGCCAAGATATTAAATAAAATAATAAGAGTCATTGTGCAATGCAGATATCTTTTGGTGTGAAGTGAAAAAAGAAAAACATTAATAATTTGTTTGTTGGAATTTGAAACATCAGTTTAGAACAAGGAAACATAAAAAGCAAGGCCTAATGAAGTTAAGAATGAGCTTTATCTGTGTCACAATCATATGATTATTGTCAATGCAAACTGGATGTAGACACTGCATTGTTAATACACAAACAACATTATAGAGATTGGCAATTAGTATGAATATATTGTTTTATTTTATAAAAATTGTAGTTGGTACAAATACTCTTGAATATGTATTTTAACTAATTTATAGGGTCCCCTGTGTCTGAATTGGTTTTTTTCTGCTTTGTAAAATTAAAAAAAGCTAAAATAATATATATCTTTCATTGATCATATTGAAATATAATCATTGTAGTATTTGGCAACAAACAGCTACCATTCATATACATAAAATCCTTGTATACAACATGCACCATTTAACCCTTAAATATCAAAACAGATTTCAGTGATTTCCATTTCTTTTATTTTGAAGATTGTATCATGATATCTAGTTGATGACGTAATTTTTCAGAGCCTGTTACTCTTACAATTTCTTGAGAACATTTCTCATTGCTCTCAGTTATATATCTGACAAATACTTACATGTGTTGCTGTCAATATTCACAACATTGAGCCTACGGGCAACGTTGCATGAGACCTTCACATTTCGTGTAACGTATCGCCTCACAGTTTAACATAAGGAAATGCATGCATATGATGTGGCCTGCTCGGCGATGCTACAACATAGATATAGGAACGTATACAAAATCTACTTAATTTTCATAATCATACATCAAGGGCAACACTTTCAGTACCAATTGCAAAACGTCAACAAAGCGACCTGGGAGGAACGATCAGCTGATTTCACCGCATCGCTTCGAACGCCTATCTAGTGGTTAACTATACAATACAATCAGTCGTGGTCATCCCTGATGTATCATTAAATCAAGGAACATTTATTTCCGGACATGGCAATAGATAAATAATTGTTTAGGCGAAAAGATATACTGTCCGCACACAAGTGTGACCGTTGCCGACAGAGGTGAAGGTTGTACTAGTTAACTGTCTATAGACGTCATAGTAACATGTAGTGCTTGTATCGCGCATACCACATGCGCCGTCAGTTTAAGGTTGGACCGTCCGGGTCAGCGCACCTAGCGGGTTAGTGAAGGGAAGATAAATTGAAAAAGATCGCCCATTAAACCGATTGTGTAAACCTACCCTGCACTGATGAGGATGGTAGTTTACCTGGCTCACCTAAGCATGTTCTCTTGTCACTGTTCAGTGTTGTGCCAGGGCTATTAAACTGATTGTGTAAACCTACCCTGCACTGATGAGGATGGTAGTTTACCTGGCTCACCTGTGAATGTTCTCTTGTCACTGTTCAGTGTTGTGCCAAGGCTGTTAAACCTATTGTGTAAACCAACCCTGCACTGATGAGGATGGTAGTTTACCTGGCTCACCTAAGCATGTTCTCTTGTCACTGTTCAGTGTTGTGCCAGGGCTATTAAACTGATTGTGTAAACCTACCCTGCACTGATGAGGATGGTAGTTTACCTGGCTCACCTGTGAATGTTCTCTTGTCACTATTCAGAGTTGTGCCAAGGCTGTTAAACCGATTGTGAAAACCAACCCTGCACTGATGAGGATGGAAGCTCACCTGTGCATGTTCTCTTGTCACTGTTCATAGTTGTGCCAAGGCTGTTAAACCGATTGTGAAAACCAACCCTGCACTGATGAGGATGGAAGCTCACCTGTGCATGTTCTCTTGTCACTGTTCATAGTTGTGCCAAGGCTGTTAAACCGATTGTGAAAACCAACCCTGCACTGATGAGGATGGAAGCTCACCTTTGCATGTTCTCTTGTCACTGTTCAGTGTTGTGCCAGGGCTATTAAACCGATTGTGAAAACCTACCCTGCACTGATGAGGATGGAAGCTCACCTGTGCATGTTCTCTTGTCACTGTTCAGTGTTGTGCCAAGGCTGTTAAACCGATTGTGAAAACCAACCCTGCACTGATGAGGATGGAAGCTCACCTGTGCATGTTCTCTTGTCACTGTTCAGTGTTGTGCCAGGGGTATTAAACCGATTGTGAAAACCTACCCTGCACTGATGAGGATGGTAGTACACTTTGCTCACCTGTGCATGTTCTCTTGTCACTGTTCAGTGTTGTGCCAGGGCTATTAAACCGATTGTGAAAACCTACCCTGCACTGATGCGGATGGTAATTTACCTGGCTCACCTAAGCATGTTTTCTTGTCACTGTTCAGTGTTGTGCCAGGGCTATTAAACCGATTGTGAAAACCTACCCTGCACTGATGCGGATGGTAATTTACCTGGCTCACCTAAGCATGTTTTCTTGTCACTGTTCCGTGTTGTGCCAGGGCTATTAAACCGATTGTGAAAACCTACCCTGCACTGATGAGGATTATAGTTCACTTTGCTCACCTGTGCATGTTCTCTTGTCACTGTTCAGTGTTGTGCCAAGGCTGTTAAACCGATTGTGAAAACCTACCCTGCACTGATGAGGATAGAAGCTCACCTGTGCATGTTCTCTTGTCACTGTTCAGTGTTGTGCCAGGGCTGTTAAACTGATTGTGAAAACCTACCCTGCACTGATGAGGATTATAGTTCACTTTGCTCACCTGTGCATGTTCTCTTGTCACTGTTAAGTGTTGTGCCAAGGCTGTTAAACCGATTGTGAAAACCTACCCTGCACTGATGAGGATGGTAGTTTACCTGGCTCACCTAAGCATGTTCTCTTGTCACTGTTCCCTGTTGTGCTAGGGCTATTAAACTGATTGTGAAAACCTACCCTGCACTGATGAGGATGGAAGCTCACCTGTGCATGTTCTCTTGTCACTGTTCAGTGTTGTGCCAGGGCTATTAAACCGATTGTGAAAACCTACCCTGCACTGATGAGGATGGAAGCTCACCTGTGCATGTTCTCTTGTCACTGTTCAGTGTTGTGCCAGGGGGGCACTCACACTCGAAGTGGCCGAATGTGTTCTTGCAGCGATACTGACAGAAACCAGGTGGCAGCTCTTGACACTCATCAATATCTGTCAACATCAACATATACATTTGTCATCATCATCATCATCATCATCTGTAAACAGCAACACCAGTCAACATCATCATGACACATCAACATTGTCAATATCAGTAAACATACACACATCAATATCTGACAAAACCAACATAATCAATCTGCCTCAGTATCAATATCAGAAATATCAGTCCTCATCAAACACACGTCACACATTATTTACTGATTGAATGCAGTCATCACACACACACACATGAACTTTTATAAAGTGAACAATGCCTAAAAGTGTTACGCCTCATTAATGGTAAAATATACTAATTAGACGTGCCCCTTTCATTTTAAGAAGAATTATTTTGAAACAGACCAAGTCATTGGTTTTAACCATGTTAACATACCCAATAGGTGAGGTGAGGTGAAATGGGGTTTAACATCGCGTCCAAGATTATTGCACTTCTTTTGCAACGTGCGTGCGTGCGTGCGTGCGTGCGTGCGTGCGTGCGTGCGTGCGTGCGTGCGTGCGTGCGTGTGGCTGCTTGTACTAGCCTGGACTGAAGTCTGAGACACCCAAAATGGGCTTCACACATTATACCCATGTTGGGAATCTAACCACTGTTGTCGGCGTGACTACGAACGCTTTAACCACTAGGCTACCCTATCGCCCCTATGTCACTTTGAAGGTCATTCGCTTATGAAATGACTTCAATAATGGTTGCGCTCAAAAATATTTCAGCTATATGACAGCGGTCGGTAAATAATCAAGTCTGACCAGTCAATCCAGTGATTGACATCATGAGCCTCAATCCACTCAATTGGAATGCGATGACACGCATCAACCAAGTCTGTGAGCCTGGACAACCGATCCTGTTAGTCGCCTCTTACGACAAGCATAGTCGCCTCTTACGAAGAGCATAGTCGCCTCTTACGACGAGCATAGTCGCCTCTTACGACGAGCATAGTCGCCTCTTACGACGAGCTTAGTTGCCTCTTACGATGAGCATAGTCGCCTCTTACGACAAGCAAGAATGGGTTGCTGAAGACCGGTCTGAACAAACACTACCCTGATAGCTATGTCAAGACCCTTTCTATAACTGATCATCTTACCTTCCTGGCAGGTACTCCCCATGACTCCCGCGGGGCAGACACACGTCCCGTTTAGACACGTTCCTCCGTTGGCACACTGTGGGTTACATCCCCTGAGGAAGCCACGCAGAAGGTCCTTACAGCTCCGTCGCTTGTGTCGGTCCACCCGATCTATCTTACAGTTCTCCACAATTTCTGTCCGGCATGTGAAGTCATCGCAGATGACCTCAATAAACTCCTCCAGCTGACACACCAGCCCGAATGTGGTATTAACGAGTCCGTAGCCCTGTTCACATGGCGACAGTGGACCCCCGCGAGGAGGACATGGTTCTGTGTCGCAGTCGTATTCCGCTGCGAGGGGGTGGCACTTGGGGGGTGAGGAGGACAGATGGTACCCTACGGGACAGTCCAGGTCCAGGGTGAAGGACCTGCACACAACCCCATCTTCAGTTTCTACGGGGCGGGAGTCCTCGTCACAGAGATTGGTATTCTTGTCCAGCGTCCTACACACTGGTCTCGAATCGGCAGCGATGAGGATCTGCCCAACAGGACACCTCAGTCTCGAGTTAATCTGTACCTTCTCGCAGAAGAACCCGCTCCCGATCCTCACCATCCTCTGTCCCTTATGACAGCTCAAGGTCACTTGCGATTTTTTCACGCACTCAAACCCATGATGCATTTGGACAGGAATCATATTACGAGGGCAGTCGGGAAGCAGGTCAACCTCTGACACCTTTAGATCCCGACAAACAAATCCACCAGGTGTCGCTGTCCTTATCTGACCTTCAGGGCATGAGCTGCCGACCTTTCCAGCAAGGGTCACTTCAGACGTCTTCCGCGTTGTCCGCCGGTACTTACATTCCAGCCCTTTGTTCGTCCTCACTAACTCCAGCCCAGAGGCACAGGGGAGGCCTGTCAGTGTGGCTCGGTTTGTTTTCTTACACCTTAGACCCTTTGGCCCTTCCTCCAGTCTTTGTCCAAAAGGACACTTAACTTTTGTGACGTCTTTCTTTGGGGGCAACCCACACGCTTGGCCTCTTGGTGTGTCAATGATGATCTGTGGGGGTCTGCAGACCAGGGGAGGTCTGGTTGTCATGGTGAAGGCCGGACCAACATACTGGCACACAATTCCTATTGATGTCTGAACTCGCTGTAAGCCAACAGGACATGGTGGGAATGTCGTTGTGGGCGTTGGAGTTGTTCTCAGGACACAGATAGCACCGGAAACTGCCATAACAAGGTCTTCATTGTCTTGACAAGTCAAAGGAGTTGTAGTAGTAGTAGTAGTAGTAGTAGTAGTAGTTGTAGTAGTAGTAGTAGTAGTAGTAGTAGTTGGTGTTGGAGTAGTAGTAGTAGTTGTAGTAGTTGTAGTTGTAGGAATATCCTCACATACAAATTCCCCCTGCACCTTTACAAGCGTCTGTCCTGTGAGACAGGATGGTGGAGCTGGCGTTGTTACAGCGACACACTTCCTCCCCATCTTCGTCTCAACAAGCACCTGCCTTGGACCACATGCCAAACTGTCTTCATCAAACACACACTCAGCACCAGTCTTACCCATCACAGCCTTATAACCAGGGGGACAGTTCTTCGACTCAAGTTCTTTACGAGCACTCTCGCGCAATGGTCGACACACAACGATGCCATCAAACAGACCCTTCTGGTAGCCAGTTGGACACTTGACCCGTGTAGCATCCACCAGAGTGCTTGGTTGAGTTGTCTGCAGGTTACCTAGTCGGTTCTTCTGGTTGCAGAGATCCCCGCGACATGTCCATTCTCCATCTTGCTGCATGTCTTCAAACACAGTTTCCTCCATCTTATTACTTTTCAACTCATTTTTGTTCTTTGGCTTCATCTGATAAGGAAGTTGCACAGATGCTTTTGACTTTCTGAGTTTAGAATACGACGGATGATTTCTTTGCCTGTTGACAACATTTATAAATTGGTGTTTGCTTGTAATTGGAAACCCGGATTTCATCCTTGTATGTTCTCTTTGGCTTTTTAAATCTCTTTTCTTATGTTTTTTTGTTTTTGGAATAATTTCAGCTTTCTTTCCAGAAGAGTTTACATGCTGTTTTGAATTCAGCACATTTGAATGTTTATTCTGGGCATCGTGATAAGCATCCTTCAAGTCATCAGTGTTTATCAAATAGTCCCTCTCAGTGGGGAACACCCCCCAGGATTTTCTCCCATCATAACCATCCTGGCACACCCTCCCATGACAACCATCCCCCCTAAGTGCCCCTCTCATTGCCCCCTCACTTGGGATCCCATCTTCCTTAGGGTCAGCTTGACCACATGGGGGATGCAAGCATGATACAATGTGGCCTTGACCTTTTGTTATTTTCTTTCCTCCACAGCCTCCATTATCACAGGGAGACAACTCCGTCCTTCTCCTTCCTTGATACACTGGCTTGTACCTTTTACACTTATTACCTACACAGGGGAGGAACATTGGCGGTGAGATTGTTCTTGTCAATGATTCAGCACTGCTGTATCCATGGCGACGACGCTGTCTGGCAGGAGTGGATGTATCACAACCTTGACCCCTGCAGGGAACTGTCCTTGACCCTGAGATAGGTCTGGTTCCGCGTGTATGAAACAGTCTTTTACTTGAAAATGGCCTGCGGATCCTATGATGACTGAGTTGTCTCCCATGGCTACAACTCCTGCCACTGCACTGAGTATTTTCTGAAGACAAACAAATAACAACAAATAAAACTAAATGAGGTAAATTCTTCTGTTTTGGTTTATAGAAGAGTTAGTGAAATTAAACCCCAAATAGGAAAAAAAAATGAGCGTGGCTCACTAATACCCCCGACCCGCCTAGCGTGTCAGTAGTTTCAAATCGAATAGCGAGGATAGGGTTAGGGTTTGAAAAATTCATAAAAAAAATGGAAAAATAATAAAATCAAGTTTTTTCTTTTGACTGCACCTCTCCATATGACACAGATTATATGTACTAAGTTTGAGATAAATCCACTGAATAGTTTAAGAGAAATCGATGTCCCTAACTTATGTTAAATTACGTGGTCTCCTACACAAGCACTTGCTTGATAAAGGTGTTAGGATCTACACCGAAACGTCGCACAAATTGTAATAAAGAAGTTGTTCATCCATAGAACTTGTCTTTCTTCATCACACAAACTTCTAAATGCCACTGAAAGTTATGGATAATGTACCTGAGAACACCACAGACTAGATAGAGATCCACCTTCAGTTAGTGAATATTGTGTCTCGTATAACTGATAATTACAGATATACCAATCAGGACTCTGTATTTTGTAATAAGATGTCTACTGATGTTTCTACATGGCCAATTTGCGCTCTGTGTACATGCCCTGTGGTCATAGTGTTTATTCACCACTCAAAGGTTTAAGGCAAGTGTCAGAAATGAATTGATTGCACAATCAACCCTTTAATCTGGTGTACAACACAGCTGGTGCTAATTAACAAACATCCTCAGCACTGATGGTTTATAACAACAGTCAATTGTTTGCTAGGCATTACTTAGAAGTTGACGGATGACAAGGAAGACACAATTTTATGGATTACAACTTCTTTAATACTGTAAATACTGATGGTCTATGACAACAGTCAATTGTTTGATAGGCATTACTTAGAAGTTGACGGATGACAAGGTAGACACAATTTTATGGATAACAACTTCTTTAATACTGTAAAAAGCGACGTTTCGGTATAGATCCTTATACCGTTGTCATCCGTCATCCGTCAACTTCTAAGTAATGCCCATCAAACAATTGACTGTTGTTATAGACCATCAGTATTTACAGTATTAAAGAAAATGTAATCCATAAAATTGTGCCTACCTTATAACAGGGTATGAAACTCCCAAAAATTTCAGCCAGACCACAGGACTGGCTAGCTGAAATACTTGCCAGCAATGACCAAAACCTGCCTGCCCACCATAATCATATGTTTGTCAGGATAATTTAATTAAAACTTTAAATCGAATTCATTGAACATGAAGTAATGCAAGAAAAGAAATAGCAAACACTTTTTAGGTCAGATTTGTATTTAATATCCTAGAATACATCATGTAAATAATGCTTATCATCGGGAAATATTTAGAATATTTTTACATATGAAATATAACCCGACCGTCGGGCAGGGGGATTTGAAAATCTGGCAGCCCGAGTTGAAATCAACCCGTCTCGGACGATCGGGCAGGCAGGTATTTCGAACACTGATATAGATCGATGCATTTAGAGCATGTAGATCTCTCCTTGAATACATTATTTGTTAGAATGTAAACACAGAGCTAAAGGCTCAAAGTCTTACTTACAAACTGACTTTTCTCGAGACTCACAAATTATTTTTCAGGGGTATTACAGTAAATATAAATGAAGGGAGCCTATGGCAGTGTTCGAAATACCTGCCTGCCCGACCGTCCGAGACGGGTTGATTTCAACTCGGGCTGCCAGATTTTCAAATCCCCCTGCCCTTTTTTCTTTCAAGGATCCGGGAGTAGGGATAGAGTTTTTGGTAACTTGGGCAGGGACTAGTCCAAATTTACTACCCGGGTACCCAAATCCCTATTACCCGACCCAACCCTAAGCGGGTAACCAACCGCTTTTGGTGTCAAGAGATAGGTACAAAATGTCCGATTGGGAATAGTTTGACAGTAGCCCTGGCAAAATGTATTTAGTTACACCTATAAAATAATGTGGTCATGCATACACTGAAGTTGAGTGAAGTTTTAGCTTTGTTCAAACATATATAAGTCAGAAGGAATGCGTTCATAGTCATGAAGAAAAGCGAACATTAGAGACCTAAAGTTGTTGGGTAACCATGTAGTTATAGTCAAATCCCAGAAGACACCTGTTGAGTTCAACGTCCTTATCAAGAATGAAGATCATTGCAAACATCACAACACAATGTCTTGTACACAAACAATTAGTGGATGTAGGCATTAGTGGATGCCGCCCAAACAATGGATGTTTATCTGATTCTTCTACCAGATACTGCCCACCCTACCATGACACTGAAGAATGCTTGTTTGGAATACAAACTACTCTGGAAAACCTCCCCTTGTCTAGCTGATCACTGAACTTATAAACCTCCGGTGATGTCATCCTATTGTTCTCTGGTCGGGTTAAATCTCATAAACAGGGATGTAGTAATGTCCCTGGGATTTTATATAATATCCCTGGGAATTTATAGGATATTCAAGCCATATTTGCTATATATAGTGTTTTAATATCCCAGGGATTTTATACAATGTCCTGGGTATTTTATTTATACAACTTCCGTTCAGATCGTTACATGTAAATGTAAAATCAAATGACAAATGTTTTCTTTATATTCCCGAGGATCGAACTCGCAACCTTCATATCTGTAGCCAGTGAGTGTACCACGAGGCTACAGAGTTGTTGATAAGCCACACTGTTTTTTAGAATGTCCTTTTCAAGATCCGTACGCCAGCAACAGATATTTTACGCGCGTTTCCTAAGGTTCATGGAAAGTATGTTCGAAACATAAAAATGTTGATAAATGTTGTTTAAAGTTTCTTTTTTCGGTTCATAAGTTAGATAAAACACTTCCCTCGGGTTTTTAGGATATCTAAAACCGTTATCCTTAGGATGCGTGTTTTAAATGTGATAAACACCCTCGGACGTGCCTTATCATACACATAACACACTGATAACCCAAGCAATACCATTGCCTAGTAACAAAGACACAATCAGCAGATCCTGCAGATAGCGTTGCATGTTTACAATCAACTTGTGTACCCAAGTGAGACGTGTTTTATCTTCTTATATCAGTTTGATGGTGCCATCACAAATCTCTTCTTTTCAGAGGAATCGAACCACTGACCTTCCTGCTTGCTGGACAGACGCTCTATCCACTACACCACGGAGGCAGTCAAACAAAAACACCCTCTCTATCCACTACACCTAGGAGGCAGTCAAACAAAAACACCCTCTCTATCCAATACACCTAGGAGGCAGTCAAACAAAAACACCCTCTCTATCCACTACACCACGGAGGCAGTCAAACAAAAACACCCTCTCTATCTGCTACACCACAGAGGTAGTCAAACAAAAACACCATCTTTATCCACTACACCACGGAGGCAGTCAAACAAAAACACCCTCTTTATCCACTACACCACGGAGGCAGTCAAACAAAAACACCATCTTTATCCACTACACCACGGAGGCAGTCAAACAAAAACACCCTCTTTATCCACTTCACCACGGAGGCAGTCAAACAAAAACACCCTCTTTATCCACTACACCACGGAGGCAGTCAAACAAAAACACCCTCTTTATCCACTACACCACGGAGGCAGTCAAACAAAAACACCCTCTTTATCCACTACACCACGGAGGCAGTCAAACAAAAACACCCTCTTTATCCACTACACCACGGAGGCAGTCAAACAAAAACACCATCTTTATCCACTACACCACAGAGGCAGTCAAACAAAAACACCCTCTTTATCCACTTCACCACGGAGGCAGTCAAACAAAAACACCCTCTTTATCCACTACACCACGGAGGCAGTCAAACAAAAACACCCTCTTTATCCACTACACCACGGAGGCAGTCAAACAAAAACACCCTCTCTATCCACTACACCACGGAGGCAGTCAAACAAAAACACCCTCTCTACTGTAGACACTTTTACACACATTTTGTTCTATTGCAGATGTTTTTTTAGCAGACCCTGAAAGCGACTGGGCCACCTAGAAACCTAGAAACATAATCGGGGCGGACCGGAATTCGAACCCAAAATCATAGGTTTCTGGCGTGCCCAAGGGACGCAACTCTGCACAGCGAAATGCGGCGCCTTAGACGACTGGGCCACCGTCGCCTCTTACGACAAGCATAGTTGCCTTTTACGGCAAGCATGGGTTGCTGAAGACCTATTCTAAATGGGATCTTCATGGGACGAAGAGGACATGGTATTCTGGTAGATACTCACTGTTGTGTGGTGTACAACTGCGGCCGTTCACTGCCAGGACAAAGCCTGGGTGGCAGGTACAGACATAGCTCCCCGGAGTGTTGACACATTTGTGTTGGCAGATGGACGAGAACAGATAACATTCGTCCAGGTCTGAAACAACAACAATTACATCTTCCTTATCTAGTTAATATGTCTCTATTTCTTTATTTATTTGGTTAATATATCTCTTTTTAATTATTTATTTATTTATTAATTTATTTATTAATTTATTAATTTATTTATTTATTTATTTTTTTAAATATTTTTTTATTTATTTATTTTTAATATATATAAACAATTTTTTACACAACCAATTTGTAAGGATTTAGCTTCACACTTAGTTGATAAATATGGCAAATATTTGCCCGTTTTCACCATTTGTAAACTTTGATGGACACCTGTAGCGAACTTAAACTTGCTGACCTGCTGTCTGCTGTATAAGTAACCTATACCTAACAAGTATGCCACAAGACGTGCTACTCCATGTATAACTCTGTAATGTCATATACTGAATTGAATAAAAAATATTAAAAAAACCCTAAAAAACCCAATTACATCTTTGTCCATAAGAGCTGACATATTTACATGTAAAGAGAGGGACATGACATGTTTTCAAGTTTTCAAAACTATATTTCAGTTGATATCTAATGGAAAGACAAAAAATCGAATACTCATTTTTGAAAAATTAATTCAGGAGCAAATATTTAAAATATAATCATAAGTCAACATTAATCAAGAAATTAGAGTATACTTAGGCCCATGTTTGTGTTTCCGGTTTAGTCACTTGTTTTTATACAAAAATCCTGGTCGGAAGGTGGGAAAAAACATAATAAAAAATACATTTCAGATTTTAATTTTTTTTTGCGAATATGTGACCAAGCATGCAGTGTTAGCAAACCTTGTCTTGTCCAGCCCTTGTAACATAAGGTCTTGCAGTTTAAACCTTTGTACGCATAAGTATTTGTAATGGACACTTGTAAGTTTAATCAATGTAAAAACATAGTGTGTTTTTTAACACTTTTTTCATTATTTCTTTTATTTTCTTTAAACTCTTCAATTTTTTAGGGATGGTGAGATCTGTATTCCAGTTATGTTGACATCATCTCGCTTCAAGTTTCAATTTTTTATATATAATAGATTTATATGGAAAAAATAAATCATAGATGGAGAGGTCACTCAAACACTATATACATATTGGCTTCTAGAGTTACCATGGTTACCTCAATGAGAGCAATTACATCTTAACCATGGAAGAACAAAGAGATGATCAGCTGAGTGTGTTTCATATCATACATAATGAAATATAGTATTATGCCAGGCTTCGCATTAGGCTCCAAATACAAGATATACATAAAATACATATACCGTATTCGACAAAATAAGCGCCCAGGGCGCTCTCAAAATTAGAAATAGGGGGCACTTATTGGAATATTATTTTAGTGGAAAAAAACAGAGTTGAAAGATACATTTCGTGGTTTATGCTGATGGCCTGAACTGTTTATATACGTCAGAAATATTTTTCCAGAATTTAACTGCCCATAATTGGGTGCATATAACACACGAGTGCGTATTATACACGAACAAACAAGTCTTGTGTACATTGATCAATCTGAAGGGGTGCTAATTGGGAACGTTCACTAGCCAATACATTAGCAAATATCGCCGTGGGCGCTTATTAGAGCAGGGCGCTTATTACGTCAAATACGGTATTCAATGTTTCAACCCCAATCAAAAGGAGAACAAATATTGTTTTAAATCGACAGGAGCTTGCAAGGAGTGTCAACAGTCAAGCGGCTTGAGGCAAGTCCACCTTTACCTTAGCTACCTCTCATGATTCATATTACCTTATTATTTTTTTAGAAGAATCAGTGTTCCCGTCTACCGGTAATTACCAGTTTTTTACCGGTAAATTTAGGCTTGGACTGGTAATTCAAGTGACTGCCAGTCCCTCTGAACTGGCAAATAAAGATCCTTATAAATCTTTGATGTAGAACAAAACATCAGTGATATTGATAGAAATATATTTTTTTAAAGAAGTCAGCTTAATTGTCTGTTAACATCAGGTCATCCCCTTGTCTATTTTTAGTGCACGGAAATAACATTTCACTTTTTCTCGAAATATTAAAAAAAGTGAGAGAAAATTGTGACTGAAGTTTGTGTGAATGACATGTAAATCTAACTAAGTTATTTCAGAGATGACTCATTGCACTGAACATGATGCTGAAAGAATTAAACCAGCTAATTTTCATACATTTTTTATTTGTTGAAAGTTGTGACTGACAAAAATTAGGGGGACTGGTAATTTTTATAGTTGCCAGTCCACCAGGTTTGGCAGTTTCAAAAGCCAGTGGGAAAAATTCTGAACACTAAAGAATTCCAATAAAAAAATAGTTCAGGTATTCACTGGATGGATAAGACTCAAACCTTTGCAAGATTTCCTGTCCTGCTGCAGTGAGAATCCTTTCCAGCAAGTGCATCTTGGGAAACGCGGACTCTCGGTGCAGCTGTGTTCACAAGACAGTTGTTGACAACTCACAGATGACAGGCTGGGGGGGTGAGACATTCTGTTGTTGACAAATAATACACTGGTGATAAACATGGGGACATTTATGAATAAACGAACAGAGATGATTAAATGAGATAAAAATACAAAGCTAGGATAAGAACATCACAAGCAATAAAATTGTGCTTCATTTATTTTGTTATTGTTTATTTATAATTGTTTTGACCATAATCCAAAACACCATAAGGGTCAGATCTATCCAGTCGTACTGAAATATCATTTGAAATACATGAATAAACCAAAGAATTTCTTGCTATTTCGAGGTAAAACAAACAATTTAACTTCAAGACTTACCTTTTCCTCAATCGCATTTCAATTTCACGAGAGTTTGCAATTGCTATTAAAATCACAAAAACAATAAATGTCGCTTCCATGTTAACAGATGTGGTTGTTCCAAAACAAACGTCTAAAGTCCAAAATCAGTGAAGATTTACGTCTGAATTCCACTACATTCCATGTTCAGAGTAACACTGAAGCTCATCCATGTTGCAAACTATCTACTGGCAAACGATCTGATAAGACAAAGATATAAACTTCCCGCTGTGAATGGACCGAGTGACTCTAGCTTAGGTTCATGAGGTCATTCCTTACCAGCTCTTAGCTTCTTCCATCTGGTTCTCGTCTACGCTTCCATCAGTCGGTTAATTGCAACTTGTAACTTGATAGTCCCGGCTGGACAACTTCCGGTCTTTGATAAACCGGTTTATATCGCTTATACTATAAACACCTGTTTTTTTATATCCGTAAAATACACTTGACGAATTTTGCCTGTTTCTTCAAACATTCATAACTCAACGATTAAAACAACATTTTTTTACAAGAAAACTCATATATTTCATTGTTTTCTTGAATTTATATTTCTCCAGGACCAATTCCTTAGAGAACACGTGTTTCTGATTATTTTCATCACAAACCATTCGGGAATGGAAAAGCTTTGATGCTATTGGTCAATTTTGGCATTGTCCAATCAGTGGCGAGAATAAGCAAACGGGGTTGTACGTAAAAAACAACGATTTCCACGCAAGCGCACTGGGGTTCGAGACATGTTTACTTCCGGTTTTTGGCGCGGTCACAATGAATCTCGACCTGCTTGGTACGTTTCTGTGTGCAATGTCTATTTTCGATGTCTTTTCGAGTTTCTAATCATTTAGATATATTCATACAATCTTTCATCTTATTTTGCAGAGACATTTGGCCAGAATTATCCAGAGGTGAGTGTATAATATACGTTATTTACTGTCAGTCGGTCGTGCAGGATAACCTGGATCTACATTCAAACTATGGACAACGACGCTTTTAGAATAAATGTTCAGCACGATCTTATGACCTAGTAAATCAACACCATCTTTTCCTCGTCTGCTATTTCATTTATGTAAGATTCGTACCCAACGCAATAACAGTAGTTCTATTCCAAAATGTAGTCAAAACATAGTTTGTAATGTAAGCAGTGTGATTTTGAAACATTCGAAATTTAAACCAAAACACAGACTTCATTTAACATGTTTTAATAAGGGCGCATGATAATATACTAGATCTTGCTTGAAGCACTTGGAGTTGTAGTTTCGAAAATATATATAATATTGTGCAAAATGTTTATGCTCCCATGATACAAAGCCATGATTTATGATTAATACAGCCAAACCTTCCTTTGGAAATTGACACTTTTTGCAGGTTCATAACTTTGGCAAAGTACATTTTGCAATCAAAATATTTGGTACACTTAACATACTGAAGGATAGATATTTAATCTTCTCATGCTACGCTGATAGAATTTGTCCAATTCCTTGTTTTCTAGGACTTTGATGGTGCTCTGGACTGTGTGAGCATTGCTGTGACCTGCTCCTTCAACAGACAAGGAACACTCCTAGCTGTTGGCTGCAATGATGGCAGGATTGTTATCTGGGATTTCCTCACTCGGGGAATAGCCAAGGTTATCAATGCTCATGTCCATCCAGTCTGCTCCATCAGGTATGTGTTTCTACAGCTTCTTATGGTGATGGTTTATGTTGTGTGACCATACGACAATGTTAGAAAATCAACAGTTATATTTGTTTTGGTGAGAAAACAGGAGCTTTATATGTGCTGGTCATCATGTTTAGGGATATTTAGGGATGGTTTTAACTATTTTAGTTAATTTACGCAATGTTTTACGCAAAATGTTCCTGTCCTTTCCTTTTTAATGTATCTTAATTCGAAGAATCTTCTACATGTTCTATATATTATGAGTGAAGTGTCTGTCTGTCCTTGTTAAATGTAATACATTTTGTTCCACAGAATACATATCAGTATTATCTAACTTATCAATGTCATACTATCTACATGGTCCTACAAATCTTTCAATTGTTATGAAACAGACACATGACAGATGTATCATTAAATTGAGAATTGTCAGACACATTGTGAATCAGAAACTGCCTGTCACATTGTACGGTGTTGACATGGTTGAGTAATGTGTTTTGGGAACACTTGTTAATTTACATCTTCTTAATGCCACACAGGGTTATGATAAACTTGATGATTATTACGTATAGGATAAAACATGCCTCTGAGGTTTTTTGTTGAAAATGTCCGAGGGAAAAACCTGGGGGCCGAACGCCCGAGAGCTCTTCTTAAGCTGAAGGTTTTACATTTTCAACTGGAAATGAGGAGGCATGTTTTATCCAATTTATCATGCTAATGAACCGTCTAAATCCAAGAAATACCAGAAAAAATAAGAAAACATTGACATACCTTTTAGTGAAACAATACAGTGTATCGCTGTATAAAAGGAATTCACTCAAAGCGTGTGAAAGAAAAAACATGTGCAGCATGGACTAGGTGGAGTCATGGCATGATAAATTTAACAACTGCTCATCACCTGCCTCGGTAGCTCAGTGGATAAAACAGTGGGTTACAGATCATAACGTGATATGTGAGGTTGGAGGTTGGATTCACATCATTAAATTTTCATTTGTGACTTTTAGCCAATCATGAGACAGAATTGTGTTCACATCAAGAAGCAAGTTTATAAAACATTAATTGTAAAAGCTTGGTATTACAATTGAAATGTAAACCGCAAATAGGTTTAGAAGTGATCTATTTCAAAACCAAGGTTTGGAAGAGAACCCCTTCAAAACCTGGGCTTGGAAGATGAGCTGGTTACTAGGTTTACCCTAAGTTGTCAGGAACCTAATGCAATATAGGGTAATAGGTTTATAAACACAGTTACCGTATTCAAGGTAATAAGCGCCCCGCTCTAATAAGCGCCCATGGCGATATTTGCTAATATATTGGCTAGTGAACAGTCCCAATTAGCACTCCTTCCGATTGATCAATGTACACATTGTATTATTTATTCATGTATAATCCGCCCTCATGTGTTATATGTACCCTTAATTATGGCCAATTAAATTCTGGAAAATACATCTGTCGTGTATGATACACACATACTTTTCTTTTGTATCATTTCAGGCTGTCAGCATAAACTACGAAATTTACAATCTTTCAACTCTGTTTTTTTTTCCACCAAAAAAAGAGACCCCAATTTCTAATTTTGAGAGCGCCCCGGGCGCTTATTACGTCGAATACGGTATGTCTCTTATTTAATAATAATAAACTGGCAGTGCTGTGTTGTTCATGCTGATGGTGATATGTGTGTGATGTGTGTGTGATGTGTTCCAGCTACAACAGGAATGGTCGGAAGCTGCTGAGTGCCGCCACAGACAACACTGTCAGTGTGTGGAACGTGCTGACCGGGGAGTGTGACAGGGTCTTCCGCTTCCCGTCCCCCGTCATCAAAGTACAGTTCCATCCCAGAAACAGGTGCTTGTTTAACTTCACTTATAAAAATAAAAGAATTGGTTCTCAGGCAATGACTTTTGAAAATATAGTGCAGGTAGGCGGTGGTTTTCTTTTTTTTTGCTTCTTCAAACTAGTATGTAGCCAAATTAACGGTTGTGTACCATCAAACTGGGAAAGGGCCTCCCTACATAAACAAGCATACACATTCCTATTGCCGCCATCACCATAAGACGAGATGCGCAGTAAAGCAGTGCCCATGTAAACATGGTAAAGGGAAGTAACTGTGTACTATATTGGATCGCATTATTTTTTAGTATTTGCATTTTTTTATACTTTTAAAAAAAATGGAAATAAAACCGAAACCTGCAGCAAACTGTATGATGCTGTGGGCGGTGCCTGAGGACCAAGACTTTTTTATATATTTTAGGCTTAACTTATGACATGCAAGACTCGTATATGTAACAGGCCAAGAGGGACTAGCCTCAAATCAAAATAGTAGTCCATTCAAGTTATTGATGGGTTTATTATCTAGAGTCAGTTTGGCGACACTCTACCTTCAGCATTTTCTTCATAAAAATTGTCAAATTTGTGTTAGGTAGAGAGCGACTCACAGCTGAGACATGCATTCTTTTGAAAATATCTTTGCCATATTCACCGTCCAATGCTGTTCTGGAAAATTTGTATTTGTTTCGCTGCTTGATGAGCTCCTTGTATTGCCTTTCACAATTCAAGTGTTTGTGACCTTTTTCATAATATTTACAGGGCGGTTGGGTAGCCTAGTGGTTAAAGCGGTTGCTCGTCACGCTGAAAATCCGGGTTTGATTCCCAACATGGGTACAATTTGTGAAGCCCATTTCTGGTGTCCCCTGTTGGGATATTGCTAGAATATTGCTAAAAAGCGGCGTAAAACCATACTCACTCACTCTCTCATAATAATATTTTCTGATCTCTTTTGTAAATGTCATGATAAACTAGTAAATTCCTTCTTGACATGTTAACCATGACGACATGTTAAATCTTGAAACTATGTGTGAGTTTCAATCAAGTTTGTTCCTTTCTGAGAAATTTATTTTCAGCATTAAAATATGTGTGTATTTGTTGTTAAATGCTGCACTCAGCAATATTTCACCTAGAAGAAGGTGGCCTGTAAATAATAAATCTGGACCAGACAATCCTGTGATTGATATTATGAGCAACAATCCACCGCGTTAACCAAGTCACCAGGTCTTACCACGCAATCCATTTAGTTGCCTCTTACAGTCAGCATAGGTTGCTGGGGACCAATTCTAACCCCAATCCCACCAGGGTGACCTTGAATACATACGTGTCATGTTACCGTGGTTACACGTGATACACAATCCTGGCACCTTTTAAACACTTTTGAGCATGTAAGGCAATTTTCTAGTACCCATGTAGATCTGGGTTGGAATAGGTCTCCAGCATCCCTAGGTTGCCATAAAAGACAGCTATGCTTGTCTTCAGAGGCGAATAACGGGATCGGGTGGTCAGGCTCGCTGACTTGAGAGATACATGTCATCGTACAGAGCTCCAGATAAGCTTTTGGTGTTGTAGGTATTTTACCCATGCATTTTAAAATCATTGGGTATCAGTAATTCTATCTGCGTATTCAAATTTCTGTTACCCACTAGTTTTTACACATGTGGGTATTTAAGTTAATTATTTAAATACACTATTCATCTAGTCCCTGCAAACTGGTGTCATGTGGGTTTGAGAGCTTTATAGGACTCAAAAATACCACGATACTTCCACAAGAAAGTGTGATGCCAAATGATCATGATGTAACTGTCATCGTGGAGTTTGGCAAGGTTGACGGAATGCCCGTTTATAATTTCAAAATAAGTTGCTGATTTGCTAATCGAATACGCAGGGTTACTTCACAATATTTTGATGGTACACACAAGTTTTATTTTAATGTTCGTTGCGTACTTGATATGCTTGGATTATATTTTACTGCGTATTTCTGCATTTCTGATGCGTATTTCACGCAGATACGCAGCTTATCTGGAGCTCTGTCGTATCCCAATTGCGTGGATCGATGCTCATGATGTCAATCAGTGGATTGTCTGGTCCAGATTCGATTGTTTACAGGCTGTCATCATATAGCTGGAATATTGCTGAGTGCGGCGTTAAACAACAAACAAGAACAATTGTTTCGTGTTGGAGTATAAATTGTGTTTTTGTGTGTTCCAGTGACCAGTTCCTGGTTTGTCCGCTCAAGCATGCAGCCGTGTTGATGACTGTTGAGGGCTCGCATGAACTCCTTCCTCTAGATGAAGATGTAAGTACCTCATTGGTTTGTACTCACGATGTTCCTGTTCACCCGGGGGGCACGGGGCGCCCATTCGTCTAAGGCGCCACGATTCGCTGTGCAGAGTTGCGTCCCTTTGGCTCGCCAGAAACTTATGATTGTGGGTTCGAATCACGGTTCACCCCAATTATGTTTCTAGGTTTGTCAGCACCATACCTGTGCTCGCGGGTTTCACCGAAGTTGTTAATGTCCGAGACCTGCATCACTTCGAGCTTTCCTCCCACATTAAGCTGACACGCCGTGATATAACTGGAATACTGTTAAAAGCGGCATTAAACCCAACTCACTCACTCACTCACTCCTGTTCACTCGTGAAAACATATGGCTACTTTATCATGTATATGGTGTTGATAAAATGAATCAAAGTTTAAAATTTTCCTTTTGTAATACCAACAGATGTACAGCCAAGTTCCGTTAATCCGACATGTTTGGTTGCATATGATTTTGTCGGATAAACAAGTGCAGTAAACTACGGTTATAACAAACTCAAAGGGACCACTTATTTTAGTTTGTTTTAACCATAGTTCGTAATAAGCATATATACATCATATATTCACAGCAAATGGTCGGGACAAAAAACAGTTTGTTATATCCGTCAGTTTGTTATAATGCGTGTTCGCTATAAAACAAAGTTTACACTATGTCGGATGAACAAAATTAAGTAGTATCAATGTTTGTGATCGAAAATTGGACAACTACATGATGGATAACAATACAAACACATTGTCATTAAAAAATGAAAAATGAAATATTCATATTGTTATGTTACATTGTTAGCGGAATATGTTTTCTAATCATGCAACCTAATAAGCACTCCAGCCGACTCGTCTCGCATCAAAACACGGGGATGTGTACTCGCGGGCAGATGACCACTGAGTACGTTGGTCACTGTGACTGGGGCGGTGGGGTAGCCTAGTGGTTAAAGTGTTCGCTCGTCACGCCAAAGACCCGGATTCGATTCCCGACATGGGTACAATGTGTGAAGCCCATTTCTGGTGTCCCCCGCCGTAATATTGCTGGAATATTGCTAAAAGTGGCGTAAAACCATACTCACTCACTCACTGTGACTGATCAATGAATGATTTCGGTAATTTGTTGTAAATTAGGTTTGTCGGAGTTGGAGTGCGAGACTGTTGGATTAATGGGTCTAATTAATTGGTTCCCATCATTAGTGTCGGATAAAGCCAATTGTCAGATTAACGAGACTTGATTGAATATTGGTCACCCAACTGATGAAAGCTATCTTCTGTTTTCTGTTAAATTTTACATTTGTGTCATTGAGTTGTCATGAAGTTCCTCATAAGGACCACGATTATTTGAAATATTAATGATTTAATCCCAATTTCTCCGCTTTTGGATTTTGGTCTTCAGAACTTATGAAATACTGCGTTTTGATAAAGAAGGTAATAATTTACACATGTGAGGGAAAATGAAGCTAAAATCTGAATTGTGTTCTAGTGGGGGCTCTTATTAGAATATTATTTTGGTGAAAAACAACAGAGTTGAAAGATCGTAAATTTCAAGGTTTAGGCTGACAGCATGAAATGTTTATATATGACCGATATATATTTCCAGAATTTAATTTCCCGTAATTAAGGATGCATATAACACACATATTATATACAAATAAATAAGTCTTGTGTACATTGCTAATTAGGATTGTTCACTAGCCAACATATTAGCAAATATTGCCGTGGGCGCTTATTAGAGCGGGGCGGTTATTACGTCGAATACGGTAACTGAAACACCGTTCTAAGTGGCGTTAAACCAAACTCACTCACTGCACCATTTGTTCATTTCAGTCTGACTTGAACATCGTGGCATCGTTTGACAGGAGAGGCAAGTACATCTACACCGGCAATGCCAAGGGGAGGGTGAGTGCGACATCTTCAACAATAAACTGGAAAACAGGACATGCTGGATTTGTCATCGTCTTCATTCTTTGTCAAATTTGATTACCATATTCGATGTAATAAGCGTCCAGGGCGCTCTCAAAATTAGAAATAGGGGGCTGTTATTAGAATAGTATTTTCGTCAAAAAAAGAGAGTTGAAAGATAAATTTCGTGGTTTATGCTGACAGCCTGAAATGTTTATATATATGACAGATATATTTTTCTAGAATTTAATTGGCCATAATTAAGGGTGCATATAACATACGAGTGCGTATTATATGCGAATAAGTAAGTCTTTTGTACATTGATCAATCGAAAGGGGTGCTAATTGGGATCGTTCACTAGCCAATATGTTAGCAAATGTCGCCGTGGGCGCTTACTAGAGTGGGGCGCTTATTACGTCGAATACGGTAATTGAGTTTTTTCACAAGTGCTTCATTGTTGGTAGTACTTTATTGAATTCTTTCATCGTAAAAGTTTCCAGCTTTCTCTGGTACTGTACCTTACCAAGTTTGCTGTGAAGGTACAAGGCTACTCGGAGACAAAAGGTTTCTACAACACACTATGTATTGATACTAAGGGTTTCCCCTTCAGAGTTAACATGATTACAAACTGTTGCTATACTTCCGAATTGCTTACAAAAGAACTGGGAGAAGACGCACCCTTTATACTGCCCAAGTGTGTATCAGAACATTATAAAACATGTCTAATGTCAAGTTTAATGGACATGTGGTGTAAAGGGGACATGTGGTCTAGAGGGGACATGTGGTCTAGAGGGGACATGTGGTCAAGAGGGGACATGTGGTCAAGAGGGGACATGTGGTCTAGAGGGGACATGTGGTGTAGAGGGGACATGTGGTCTAGAGGGGACATGTGGTCTAGAGGGGACATGTGGTCTAGAGGGGACATGTGGTGTAGAGGGGACATGTGGTCTAGAGCGGACATGTGGTCTAGAGGGGACATGTGGTCTAGAGGGGACATGTGGTGTAGAGGGGACATGTGGTGTAGAGGGGACATGTGGTCTAGAGGGGACATGTGGTCTTGAGGGGACATATGGTGTAAAGGGGACATTGGTCAAGAGTGGACATGTGGTCTAGAGAGGACATGTGGTCTAGAGGGGACATGTTGTCTAGAGGAGACATGTGGTCTAGAGGGGACATGTGGTCTAGAGGGGACATTGGTCTGGAGTGGACATTGGTCTAGAGGGGACATGTGGTCTAGAAGGGACATGTGGTCTAGAGTGGACATTTGGGTTAGAGGGGACATGTGGTCTAGAGGGGACATGTGGTCTAGAGAGGACATGTGGTCTAGAAGGGACATGTAGTCTAGAGCGGACATGTGGTCTAGTGGGGACATGTGGTCTAGAGAGGACATGTTAGTCTAGTGAGGACAGGTGGTCTAGAGTGGACATGTTAGTCTAGAGGGGACATGTTAGTCTAGTGGGGTTAGGTGGTCTAGAGAGGACATATGGTCTACCGGGGACATGTGGTCTAGAGAGGACATGTGGTCTAGTGAGGACATGTGGTCTAGAGAGGACATGTGGTCTAGTGGGGACATGTGGTCTAGAGAGGACATGTTGGTCTAGTGGGGACATGTGGTCTAGTGTGGACATGTGGTCTAGAGGGGACATGTGGCCAAGAGGGGACATGTAGTCTAGATGGGACGTTGTCTAGAGAGCACATGTTGGTCTAGTCGGGACATGTGGTCTAGAGAGGACATGTTGGTCTAGAGGGGACATGTGGTCTAGTGGAGACATGTGGTCTAGTGGAGACATGTGGTCTAGAGGGGACATGTGGTCTAGAGGGGACATGTGGTCTAGAGGGGACATGTGGTCTAGAGTGGACATGTGGTCTAGAGCGGACATGTGGTCTAGAGAGGACATGTGGTCTAGAGGGGACATGTGGCCAAGAGGGGACATGTAGTCTAGATGGGACGTTGTCTAGAGAGCACATGTTGGTCTAGTCGGGACATGTGGTCTAGAGAGGACATGTTGGTCTAGAGGGGACATGTGGTCTAGTGGAGACATGTGGTCTAGTGGAGACATGTGGTCTAGAGGGGACATGTGGTCTAGAGGGGACATGTGGTCTAGAGGGGACATGTGGTCTAGAGTGGACATGTGGTCTAGAGCGGACATGTGGTCTAGAGAGGACATGTTGGTCTAGAGAGCACATGTTGGTCTAGTCGGGACATGTGGTCTAGGGAGGACATGTGGTCTAGAGGGGACATGTGGTCTAGAGGGGACATGTGGTCTAGAGAGGACATGTGGTCTAGAGAGGACATGTGGTCTAGAGGGGACATGTGGTCTAGAGTGGACATGTGGTCTAGAGCGGACATGTGGTCTAGAGAGGACATGTTGGTCTAGAGGGGACATGTTGGTCTTGTTGGGACATGTGGTCTAGAGGGGACATGTGGTCTAGAGGGGACAGAATAAATACCAGGGTCGTCCTCCCAGCATATCAGTGTCACAGCTCTATAACAGTGATGGTCTGTGTTGTGATGTTTGTTGTGTGATGTTTCAGATTCTGGTTTTCACAGCTGGTAAGCTGGAACTGTTGGCTTCATTCCGAGTGACGACAGGGACACTTAACACCACCGCAATCAAGTCCATTGAGTTTGCCAGGAGAGGAGAGTGAGTTCCTCAACTAAACTGAACATTCTTACAGGGCTTTACACGATCCAGATGTTGTGCGTCTCGTACTCACAAATGTACGGAATGGACACAAAAAACAAAACCTGTGAAGATCTGTGTTAGAATAGGCAGGGTTAGAAACTAACAGTTTTTGTCCACTAGTCCTTATAATGATAGCATATAGCAAAACCCTTAAAATGGGCAAATTTCTACTAGTCCTTAGGATACCTTTACTATTGGGCAGTTTGGTAAGGACTATAGGACGAGTGCCAATTTCTAAAGCTGATAGGTCTTCAGCAACCCATTCTTGCTGAGCTAATAGTAAAAGGCAATCTATTTAGTTGCCTCTTACAGCCGGCATAGGTTGCTGGGGACCAATTGTAACCCGGAATCCCATCAGGGTGATCTTGAATACATATCTGGGTTGGAATAGGTCTTCAGCAGTCCTAGGTTGCCATATAAAAGGCGACTATGCTTGTCGTAAGAGCCGACTAACGGGATCGGGTGGTCAGACTCGCTGACTTGGTTTATGCATGTCATCGTATCCCAATTATGTGGATCGATGCTCATGATGTCAATCACTGGATTGTCTGGTCCTGACTTGATTATTTACAAGCCACCGTCATACAGCAGGAATATTGTTTCCAGACTAACAGCTCCAAACACTAATCGCCCTGATGGCTGTTTCCAGACTAACAGCTCCAAACACTAATCGCCCTGATGGCTGTTTCCAGACTAACAGCTCCAAACACTAATCGCCCTGATGGCTGTTTCCAGACTAACAGCTCCAAACACTAATCGCCCTGATGGCTGTTTCCAGACTAACAGCTCAAAACACTAATCGCCCTGATGGCTGTTTCCAGACTAACAGCTCAAAACACTAATCGCCCTGATGGCTGTTTCCAGACTAACAGCTCAAAACACTAATCCCCCTAAAGGCTGTGTTTCCAGACTGACAGCTCAAAACACTAATCGCCCTGATGGCTGTTTCCAGACTAACAGCTCAAAACACTAATCGCCCTGATGGCTGTTTCCAGACTAACAGCTCAAAACACTAATCCCCCTAAAGGCTGTGTTTCCAGACTGACAGAGTTTCATTGTACTCAAGATTGTTTCTATTTTCAGGTGTTTCTTGGTGAACTCTGCTGACAGGATTATTCGTGTGTATGAGAGTGGGGAGGTGTTGGCGTGTGGGAAGGACGGCGAACCCGAGCCCATCCAGAAGCTTCAGGACCTGGTCAACAAGTCAGTGCTCTTCTCACCAGCTGTCATAGAATCTCAATAGCCCAGATATTTGCTGTTCGCTATGCAGAGTTGTGTCCCTTAATGTGATCTAGTGGTAGAGCGTCCACCCGGAGAGCGGAAGGTCCGGGGTTTGATCCCCGGCCGCATCATACCAAAAGACGTTAAAAGATGGTACTTGTTGTTACCCTGTCTGGCGCTCGGCATTAAGAGGCTAAAACAAGGACTGGTTGGTCGACTGTGTCTGAGTGGGGTATTCATGTAAACTGCGGCATGGTATCTCAGTGTGCTAGCACTATAAATCGGCATCAGTCTGGACTAGTACAAGCAGCCACACAAACACACAGGTACATGCACGTCGCTATATAAGTGCAATAATCTTGGACGCGACGTTAAACCCCATTTCACCTCACCTCTGTTTGATGATGACCGGCCTTGAGGTGTCAGGGCTCGATTTAGCTATATATAACTTGCACAAGTGCAACCTATTATTGAAGAATGCAACCTAATATCTATGTCTACATGCATAAAGTGGAAGAAGTGTTGTTTCTCTGGGTGTCTTACAGTAATGATCTTGTGTTGTAGGATGCTGTGGAAGAAGTGTTGTTTCTCCAGGTGTCTTACAGTAACGATATTGTGTTGTAGGACGCTGCGGAAGAAGTGTTGTTTCTCTGGGTGTCTTACAGTAACGATATTGTGTTGTAGGATGCTGTGGAAGAAGTGTTGTCCCATTGATGTCTTACAGTAACGATATTGTGTTGTAGGACGCTGTGGAAGACAGTAACGATATTGTGTTGTAGGACGCTGTGGAAGAAGTGTTGTTTCTCCGGGTGTCTTACAGTAATGATATTGTATTGTAGGACGCTGTGGAAGAAGTGTTGTTTCTCCGGGTGTCTTACAGTAATGATATTGTGTTGTAGGACGCTGTGGAAGAAGTGTTGTTTCTCTAGGTGTCTTACAGTAACGATATTGTGTTGTAGGACACTGTGGTAGAAGTGTTGTTTCTCCGGGTGTCTTACAGTAATGATATTGTGTTGTAGGACACTGTGGTAGAAGTGTTGTTTCTCCGGGTGTCTTACAGTAACGATATTGTGTTGTAGGACGCTGTGGAAGAAGTGTTGTCCCATTGATGTCTTACAGTAACGATATTGTATTGTAGGACGCTGTGGAAGAAGTGTTGTTTCTCCGGGTGTCTTACAGTAACGATCTTGTGTTGTAGGACGCTGTGGAAGAAGTGTTGTTTCTCCGGGGATGGGGAGTACATCGTGGCTGGCTCGGCCCGACAACACTCCCTCTACATCTGGGAGAAGGGTGTCGGCAACCTTGTCAAGATTCTACACGGCACCAAGGGGGAGCTGCTTCTGGACGTCGTTGTGAGTTCGTTATTCTATGTCAAAAAAGTAGAAGTATTTGTCGTCATTATCATTTATTGGTTACTGAAAATTAATCAGTGATATGGTGGTATTGACTGTATGGCTACAGATTCATTAGTCTTGTGAGTACGCAACAAACCACCTCTCAAGACAGCCCAAGTTAATTATAATAATAAGTGCATTTATAATGCACCAGATTCCATTCACCAAGTGGATGCTCATAGCGCTACACTATTATTACCCCGGTCAATGGATCAGTGAGCACTCGATTTTCATTCTCAGCTCCCTGGGGAGTATACAACCCAAGCTGCCTGTGGGGCGCTAGAAGGTTAACAGCCACATTACCACCTCATCCTACCACATCATCCCGAGGCAAGAGAGTAAACTGACTATAAAAGTCCAGTTTCCACCCTTGCCGAACTGGGCTGGTATTATGGAGTTACATTTTGGCTGGACTAACGTCCAATCAAATCAAAATCGCGCACTGAAATCAAAATCCGGTTCATAAACTGTCGTGCAGCTTTCGGTTGGTTGCAGGATTTGCAAAGCATGTGCACCGCCAACTCGTCAGCAGATATTTTCCAAATCTCATCATGTTTTTAAAGGTTCTCATGTGATTTGAGCATCCGCCCGGAGAGCGGAAGGTCCAGGGTTCGATCCCGGGCCGCGTCATACAAAAAGACGTTAAAAGATTGTACTTGTTGTTACCCTGTCTGGCGCTCAGCATTAAGGGGCTAAAACAAGGACTGGTCGGCTCGGAGTCAGTATACTGTGTCTGAGTGGGGTATTCATGTTAAACTGCGGCATGGTATCTCAGTGAGCTAGCACTATAAATTGGCATCAGTCCGGACCAGTACAAGCAGCCACACACACACATACACGTGCATGCACGTCGCTATATAAGTGCAATAATCTTGGACGCGACGTTCAACCCAATTTCACCTCACCTCACCTCATGTGATTTGATGCATTTGGAGATGTAAGACCCGTTATATCACAATATAGATATTGATTATCGATCAGATCATCCTGACTGGGCCCCACCATTTTGTGTGAAGCAAGTGCAAGTGATACGAGAGGTGGAATCTGATTGGTCCATAGGAGAGGCATAGAAAGGACATAACTCGTAATAGCCACTGGTGGCGCTACGATCGAGCCCAGTAATTCCAGCCTAGTTCGGCAAGGGTGGAAACTGGACTTTTAAAGTCAGTTAACTCTCTTGCCTCGGGAAGATGTGGGTGACATGGCAAGAAACTGGAATGGACTTCCCTCGGGAAGATGTGTCACACAAGGGTGATTCTTGGTTAGAGTAGGGCTCCCTAACTCATGCTCAGGTGTTCAGGCTTGGTGACTGGGTTGACTGTCTGTCAATGTGCCCCAACGACATGGATTGATGCTCACAATATCAATCTGTATTGCCTGGTCCAGATTTGATCATTTACAGGCTGACATCGTATAGCTGGAGTGTAGATGAGTGCATTGTTTGACAACAAAGTAAAAGAATCTTGCCGTTTCAATGCATGTTGTATTCAAAAGAAAGGAAAGACTTTCCTCAACTTTTCACATCTCTGTTTGGGAATAAATATAATCAGCTATTTCATCATAACCTTTGTGAAAAGCACAAGACTTCCTAGGCAGCAAATGATTTTGAATTTGAATTTGAAATAATTATGTATCCTTAAGTCGTGTAAATCCTGTGGGGTCCATCGCCAGTACTGGTTCACTGTAAACCTTGAATTGTGTGTTTCTCCAGTACTGGTTCACTATAAACCTTGAACTGGTGTGTTTCTTCAGTACTGGGTCACTGTAAACCTTGAACTGGTGTGTTTCTTCAGTACTGGATCACTGTAAACCTTGAACTGTGTGTTTCTTCAGTACTGGCTCACTGTAAACCTTGAACTGTGCGTTTCTTCAGTACTGGCTCACTGTAAACCTTGAACTGTGTGTTTCGCCAGTACTGGCACACTGTAAACCTTGAACTGTGTGTTTCGCCAGTACTGGCTCACTGTAAACCTTGAACTGTGTGTTTCGCCAGTACTGGCTCACTGTAAACCTTGAACTGTGTGTTTCGCCAGTACTGGCTCACTGTAAACCTTGAACTGTGTGTTTCTTCAGTACTGGCTCACTGTAAACCTTGAACTGGTGTGTTTCTCCAGGACTGGCTCACTGTAAACCTTGAACTGTGTGTTTCGCCAGTACTGGCTCACTGTAAACCTTGAACTGTGTGTTTCGCCAGTACTGGCTCACTGTAAACCTTGAACTGTGTGTTTCTCCAGTACTGGCTCACTGTAAACCTTGAACTGTGCGTTTCTTCAGTACTGGCTCACTGTTAACCTTGAACTGTGTGTTTCGCCAGTACTGGCTCACTGTAAACCTTGAACTGTGTGTCTCTTCAGTACTGGCTCACTGTAAACCTTGAACTGTGTGTTTCTCCAGTACTGGCTCACTGTAAACCTTGAACTAGTGTGTTTCTTCAGTACTGGCTCACTGTAAACCTTGAACTGGTGTGTTTCTTCAGTACTTGCTCACTGTTAACCTTGAACTAGTGTGTTTCTTCAGTACTGGCTCACTGTAAACCTTGAACTGTGTGTTTCTTCAGTACTGGCTCACTGTAAACCTTGAACTGTGTGTCTCTTCAGTACTGGTTCATTTTTAACCTTAAACTTATAAAATTTGACATCTTAAATATTATATCATGTTATACGTATTTTTTATTGTATTTTCTGTATTGTATTGTAACAGTAAACCTGTGTCCTTGTTTTCCCAGTGGCATCCAGTGAGGCCTATCATAGCCTCGATATCCAGCGGGTTGGTCTCCATCTGGGCACAGAACCAAGTGGTTAGTACACATACTGGTGATATACACAATGTAAACTGACACAACCAAGTGGTTAGTACACATACTGGTGATATACACAATGTAAACTGACACAACCAAGTGGTTAGTACACATACTGGTGATATACACAATGTAAACTGACACAACCAAGTGATTAGTACACATATTGGTGATGTACACAATGTAAACTGACACAACCAAGTGGTAAGTACACATACTGGTGATGTACACAATGTAAACTGACACAACCAAGTGGTTAGTACACATACTGGTGATGTACACAATGTAAACTGACACAACCAAGTGGTAAGTACACATACTGGTGATGTACACAATGTAAACTGACACAACCAAGTGGTTAGTACACATACTGGTGATGTACACAATGTAAACTGACACAACCAAGTGGTAAGTACACATACTGGTGATGTACACAATGTAAACTGACACAACCAAGTGGTTAGTACACATACTGGTGATGTACACAATGTAAACTGACACAACCAAGTGGTTAGTACACATATTGGTGATGTACACAATGTAAACTGACACAACCAAGTGGTTAGTACACATATTGGTGATGTACACAATGTAAACTGACACAACCAAGTGGTTAGTACACATACTGGTGATGTACACAATGTAAACTGACACAACCAAGTGGTTAGTACACATACTGGTGATGTACACAATGTAAACTGACACATCCAAGTGGTTAGTACACATACTGGTGATATACACAATGTAAACTGACACAACCAAGTGGTTAGTACACATATTAGTGATGTACACAATGTAAACTGACACAACCAAGTGGTTAGTACACATACTGGTGATGTACACAATGTAAACTGACACAACCAAGTGGTTAGTACACATATTGGTGATGTACACAATGTAAACTGACAGAACCAAGTGGTTAGTACACATACTGGTGATGTACACAATGTAAACTGACACAACCAAGTGGTTAGTACACATATTGGTGATGTACACAATGTAAACTGACACAACCAAGTGGTTAGTACACATATTGGTGATGTACACAATGTAAACTGACACAACCAAGTGGTTAGTACACATACTGGTGATGTACACAATGTAAACTGACACAACCAAGTGGTTAGTACACATACTGGTGATGTACACAATGTAAACTGACACATCCAAGTGATTAGTACACATACTGGTGATATACACAATGTAAACTGACACAACCAAGTGGTTAGTACACATATTAGTGATGTACACAATGTAAACTGACACAACCAAGTGGTTAGTACACATACTGGTGATGTACACAATGTAAACTGACACAACCAAGTGGTTAGTACACATATTGGTGATGTACACAATGTAAACTGACAGAACCAAGTGGTTAGTACACATACTGGTGATGTACACAATGTAAACTGACACAACCAAGTGGTTAGTACACATACTGGTGATGTACACAATGTAAACTGACACAACCAAGTGGTTAGTACACATATTGGTGATGTACACAATGTAAACTGACACAACCAAGTGGTTAGTACACATACTGGTGATGTACACAATGTAAACTGACACAACCAAGTGGTTAGTACACATACTGGTGATGTACACAATGTAAACTGACACAACCAAGTGGTTAGTACACATACTGGTGATGTACACAATGTAAACTGACACAACCAAGTGGTTAGTACACATATTGGTGATGTACACAATGTAAACTGACACAACCAAGTGGTTAGTACACATACTGGTGATGTACACAATGTAAACTGACACAACCAAGTGATTAGTACACATATTGGTGATGTACACAATGTAAACTGACACAACCAAGTGGTTAGTACACATACTGGTGATGTACACAATGTAAACTGACAGAACCAAGTGGTTAGTACACATACTGGTGATGTACACAATGTAAACTGACACAACCAAGTGGTTAGTACACATATTGGTGATGTACACAATGTAAACTGACACAACCAAGTGGTTAGTACACATACTGGTGATGTACACAATGTAAACTGACACAACCAAGTGGTTAGTACACATACTGGTGATGTACACAATGTAAACTGACACAACCAAGTGGTTAGTACACATATTGGTGATGTACACAATGTAAACTGACACAACCAAGTGGTTAGTACACATACTGGTGATATACACAATGTAAACTGACACAACCAAGTGGTTAGTACACATACTGGTGATGTACACAATGTAAACTGACACAACCAAGTGGTTTGTACACATACTGGTGATGTACACAATGTAAACTGACACAACCAAGTGGTTAGTACACATATTGGTGATATACACAATGTAAACTGACACAACCAAGTGATTAGTACACATACTGGTGATGTACACAATGTAAACTGACACAACCAAGTGGTTAGTACACATATTGGTGATGTACACAATGTAAACTGACACAACCAAGTGGTTAGTACATATACTGGTGATGTACACAATGTAAACTGACACAACCAAGTGATTAGTACACATACTGGTGATGTACACAATGTAAACTGACACAACCAAGTGGTTAGTACACATATTGGTGATGTACACAATGTAAACTGACACAACCAAGTGGTTAGTACACATACTGGTGATGTACACAATGTAAACTGACACAGCCAAGTGGTTAGTACACATACTGGTGATGTACACAATGTAAACTGACACAACCAAGTGGTTAGTACACATACTGGTGATGTACACAATGTAAACTGACACAACCAAGTGATTAGTACACATATTGGTGATGTACACAATGTAAACTGACACAACCAAGTGATTAGTAGAAATATTGGTGATGTACACAATGTAAACTGACACAACCAAGTGGTTAGTACACATACTGGTGATGTACACAATGTAAACTGACACAACCAAGTGGTTAGTACACATATTGGTGATGTACACAATGTAAACTGACACAACCAAGTGATTAGTACACATACTGGTGATGTACACAATGTAAACTGACACAGCCAAGTGGTTAGTACACATACTGGTGATGTACACAATGTAAACTGACACAGCCAAGTGGTTAGTACACATACTGGTGATGTACACAATGTAAACTGACACAACCAAGTGGTTAGTACACATACTGGTGATGTACACAATGTAAACTGACACAACCAAGTGATTAGTACACATATTGGTGATGTACACAATGTAAACTGACACAACCAAGTGATTAGTACACATATTGGTGATGTACACAATGTAAACTGACACAACCAAGTCGTTAGTACACATACTGGTGATGTACACAATGTAAACTGACACAACCAAGTGGTTAGTACACATATTGGTGATGTACACAATGTAAACTGACACAACCAAGTGATTAGTACACATACTGGTGATGTACACAATGTAAACTGACACAGCCAAGTGGTTAGTACACATACTGGTGATGTACACAACGTAAACTGACACAGCCAAGTGGTTAGTACACATACTGGTGATGTACACAATGTAAACTGACACAACCAAGTGGTCAGTAAACAAGCCTGTCGTTCAACACCTGCATCCACTCACAACAATTCTGTTGTTAAACCCTGCATCCACTCACAACAATTCTGTTGTTAAACCCTGCATCCACTCACAACAATTCTGTTGTTAAACCATGCATCCACTCACAACAATTCTGTTGTTAAACCCTGCGTCCACTCACAACAATTCTGTTGTTAAACCCTGCATCCACTCACACCATTTCTGTCATTAAACCCTACATCCACTTACAATAATACTGCCGACAACCCTGTTCCTGCATCAGGTTCAGTAGACATTATTTGAGTTGACTAAACCAGACAGGGTTCTACTGGACTTGGACTGATGTCGAAATTTGATTTGTTTCCAGGAAAACTGGAGTGCTTTTGCTCCAGACTTCAAGGAGCTTGATGAGAATGTGGAGTATGAGGAGCACGAGTCCGAGTTTGACATCGATGATGAAGACAAGGAGAAGGAAGAGGCTAAAGGTAGCTGTGTGGGTGGTGGTGGTGGTGAGTGTGTGGATGTGGGAGTGTGGTGTGTGTGTGGTGCGTGTGTGGTGTGTGTTTGTTTGTTTGCGGGAGTGTGTGAATGTGGGAGTGTGTGTGGGTGGGTTTGTGTGTGATGTGTGTGTAGGGTGTGTGTGTTGGTTTGCGGGAGTGTGTGGATGTGGGAGTGTGTGTGTGGGTTTGTGGGAGTGGAGGTGTGACTGTGTGTGTGTGTGACTGTGTGTGGGTGGGTGTGTGTGGGTGGGTGTGTGTGGCTGTGCGTGCGGGGGTGTGGGAGTGGAGGTGGGTGTGGGTGTGTTGCTGTGTGGCTGTGGCTGCGGGCGGGCGTGCAGGAGTGTGTGAGAGCGTGTGTGGGTTTTCAGGGAGTGGAGGTGTGTGTGTGTTGCTGTGTGGCTGTGCGGGCGTGCGTGTTGGAGTGTGGGAGAGTGAGTTTGTGGTAGGGTAACGAGACTACTCCATGTTGCAGGGCCTGATGCGGAGGACACTGAGGTGTGTATGGCCGTAGGTGTGTGTGTGTTGCTGTGTGGCTGTGTGTGGGTGGGACTGTGTGGCTGTGCGTGCGGGGGGGTGGGAGAGTGAGTATGTGGTAGGGTAACGAGACTACTCCATGTTGCAGGGCCTGATGCGGAGGACACTGAGGTGGATGTGACAACCGTGGAAGCCATCCAGGCATTTGTCAGCAGGTGAGTGACACAATGTGACAGCATCATTGTGACCGATGAAGAATGTGGAATGTTGTATTAAGTCAGCAATCATCAAGCAACATTTCAAAAAAAAAATTAACAGCAACTGTGGTTGCAAGATGCATGTTGTTGATTGTTTGTTATTTAATGCTGCAATATTCCAGCTAAATCATGACGACCTGGAAATAATCAAGGATGGACCAGACAAACCAGTGATTGATATTATGAGCAACGTCCAACACTATGAGACTACGATGACAGTTTTGTTATGTTTAGAAATAATGTTCTCAGTTTGAAAGGACTCAGTATATCTGTGTGTTTATTTCCTGTTTGTGTTTATTCAGTGATGAAGATGATGAGGACTACACAGCGCTTCTGTATCTGCCAGTGTCCCCGGAGATCGATGAGCCGGAGGAGGGGTGGCAGGCTTTGGCTGAAGCTGTGAGTAGCATCCTCCCTGAGAACTGTCACTAACACTTCAACACCACCCTAAACCTCCAGACAGCGACACCCTAAACCTGCAGACATTGACACCCTAAACCTGCAGACACTGACACCCTAAACCTCCAGACTCCGACACCCTAAACCTCCAGACACTGACACCCTAGACATCCAGACACTGACACCCTAAACCTCCAGACACTGACTCCCTAAACCTCCAGACACCGACACCCTATACCTCCAGACACTGACACCCTAAACCTCCAGACACTGACACCCTAAACCTCCAGACACTGACACCCTATACCTCCAGACACTGACACCATAAACCTCGTGACATTGACACCCTATACCTCCAGACACCAACACCCTAAACCTCCAGACACTGACACCCTAAACCTCCAGAGACCAACACCCTAAACCTCCAGACACTGACACCCTAAATCTCCAGACACCAACACCCTAAACCTCCAGACACTGACACCCTAAATCTCCAGACACCGACACCCTAAACCTCCAGACACTGACACCCTAAACCTCCAGACACCGACACCCTAAATCTCCAGACACTGACACCCTAAACCTCCAGAGACCAACACCCTAAACCTCCAGACACTGACACCCTAAACCTCCAGACACCGACACCCTAAATCTCCAGATACCGACACCCTAAATCTCCAGACACCGACACCCTATACCTCCAGACACCGACACCCTATATCTCCAGACACTGACACCTTATATCTCCAGACACTGACACCCTGAACCTCCAGACACCGACACCCTAAACCTCCAGACACCGACACCCTAACCTCCAGACACCGACACCCTAAACCTCCAGACATTGACACCCTAAATCTCCAGACACTGACACCCTGAATCTGCACTGCCTGTGTGGCCTAGTGGTTAGAGCATCTGCCTGGAGTGTGGATGGTACTTGTTGTTACTTTGCCTGGTGCTTGGCATTGAGGGGATAAAACATGGACTGGTTATCCTGGAGTCAGTGTACTGTGTCTGAGAGGGGTATCCATGTTAAACTGCGGCATGGCATCTCCGTGGGCTAGCACTAAAAAAATGGCATTAAAATCAACTCACTCAGTAAATGTACTGTCTGACTTACAGACCCATGAAGATCTGGGGTAGAATAGGTCTTCAGCAACCCATGCTTGCTGAAAAAGGCGACTATGCTTGTAGTGAGGGGCGACTAACGGGATCGGGTGGTCAGACTCACTGACTTGGTTGATGCATGTCATCGTATCCCAATTGCGTGGATCGACACTCATGATGTCAATCACTGGATTGTCTGGTCCAGACTCGATTATTTACAGACCGCCGTCATATAGCTGAAATATTGCTGAGCGCGGCGTTAAACAGCAAACCAACAAAATCTGACTTACAATGGTTTCTATGACAGTGGAAGTCGGGCCAAGAGACAGTCAGCCAGGTAAACCTCCTATCATCACCACACTCACTGATACATCCAGCTTCCTCCTTCCTCTGACACCAGCTTATTAACGTACGATCATACGATCGTTCTGTCACAGCTGAAACACTTATTGGACTCGATCGCTTATCAACCAGAATATTTGACTTGCTGTATGAATCTGTATCTTTGAACTCATAAACAAGGCGGTTGGGTAGCCTAGTGGTTAAAGCGTTTGCTCGCCACGCCGAAGACCTGGGTTTGATTCCCGACATGGGTACAATGTGTGAAGCCCATTTCTGGTGTCCCCCGCCGTGATATTGCTGGAATATTGCTAAAAAGCGGCGTTAAACCAAACTCACTCACTCACAAACCCGAGGCTAACACAGTCATTATTCTGGTTGACTGGCCACAACTGCAATTTTGTTTTGCTTTTTGTAATTTATTGATGATCCTATTACTGGTAATCACAGTTTGTTCACGCTAATAAAAACTTTTTCAAAAAGTACAACCAGAAAACAAATTCACTATTTTTCCGTTTTTGTGCATTTTGTGCACTTATTGTAAAGTGAAGCAAATACATGTCCTCAGTTTTGTGTAGAATCCCAATATAGTATTAAACCAAATACAACTGAAATATTCTTTTAGTACAGAAACTATCGATTACATGTTGTTCATAGATCTGATCATCATGCTAGCAGACAAGCCTTGAAATTGCTTAACCTAATTTTCCCCGTCTCCCGCCACCTTTTACATGACACAACCTCACTCTGTACACAATGGTTGTAAGCTGGGATTGCCCAGGGACTCCACGACAGTTGTAAGTCTATGTTAAAATATGAGAGTTACGACTTCATAAGTCTATGTTAAAATATGAGAGTTGCGACTTTGTAAGTCTATGTTAAAGTATGAGAGTTATGACTTCATAAGTCTATGTTAAAGTATGAGAGTTACGACTTTGTAGGTCTGTGTTAAAGTATGAGAGTTACGACTTTGTAAGTCTATGTTAAAGTATGAGAGTTACGACTTCGTAGGTCTGTGTTAAAGTATGAGAGTTACGACTTTGTAAGTCTATGTTAAAGTATGAGAGTTATGACTATATTTAAAGTCTATGTTAAAGTATGAGAGTTATGACTATATTTAAAGTCTATGTTAAAGTCTTGGAGTTACGACTTTGTAAGTCTATGTTAAAGTATGAGAGTTACGACTTCGTAGGTCTGTGTTAAAGTATGAGAGTTACGACTTTGTAAGTCTATGTTAAAGTATGAGAGTTACGACTTCGTAGGTCTGTGTTAAAGTATGAGAGTTACGACTTTGTAAGTCTATGTTAAAGTATGAGAGTTACGACTTCGTAAGACTGCGTTAAAGTATGAGAGTTATGACTATATTTAAAGTCTATGTTAAAGTCTTGGAGTTACGACTTTGTAAGTCTATGTTAAAGTATGAGAGTTACGACTTCGTAGGTCTGTGTTAAAGTATGAGAGTTACGACTTTGTAAGTCTATGTTAAAGTATGAGAGTTACGACTTCGTAGGTCTGTGTTAAAGTATGAGAGTTACGACTTCGTAGGTCTGTGTTTAAGTATGAGAGTATGAGTATATTTAAAGTCTATCTTAAAGTCTGGGAGTTACGACTTCGTAAGTCTATATTAAAGTATGTGAGTTACGACTTCATAGGTCTGTGTTAAAGTATGAGAGTTATGACTATATTTAAAGTCTATGTTAAAGTCTTGGAGTTACGACTTTGTAAGTCTGTGTTAAAGTATGAGAGTTACAACTTCGTAGGTCTGTGTTAAAGTATGAGAGTATGAGTATATTTAAAGTCTATCTTAAAGTCAGCGAGTTACGACTGCCTTAAGTCTGTGTTATAGTTTTGAAGTTACAGCTATTGTAGGTCTGTGTAAAAGCATGAAAGTTATGATAATATTTAAAGTCTATCTTAAAGTCTGGGAGTTACGACTTGGTAAGTCTGTGTTAAAGCATGAAAGTTATGACTATATTGAAAGTCTTTCTTAAAGTCTGGGAGTTACGACTGTCGTAAGTCTATGTTATAGTTTTGAAGTTACGGCTATCGTAAGTCTATGTTAGAGTATGGGAAAAAAAGGGAGTGGTATTTGTTCGCATTAATAAAACTTTGCATTTATGTCTCCAAAATGACTATCAACAATAAGATGGCCTCACTGCACGCATTGGATTGTGGAAATACCAACTTTGATATAAACACAAACATGGTGGTTTATTGAGCAGCAGTTGTAACAAGCATATAACCATGTCATTTAAAGAATAGGAATTACCTAAGCATCTGGTGAGTTATCACTGCTGGGGTCAAGAGTTCTACCAACTTGTGTCAAACTAGGCATCATTGACCACTCCAGCAGTCCATACTGACGCCACCCATGCAACACTCCGTCAAAGGCTGATGTAGGCACAACAAAAGGGCATTGATTCTTGTACTCGTGATTTACTTCCTTTTGACATTTGTGTTTACACCGCAGTGTTTTACACGTGTACATTGTACATATTCCATGATTAGTCGTCGGTTCAAGCTAAAACAAATAAAATGTTTCCACTCAATCTAGATATTCAAATATCATTAAATATGCAAGATATTGACAGCTTTACCTTGAATGTAATTACCTAATAATTATAATAATATTACCCACAGTGAACTGAGGTGCTTCTTAGGTAAAACTAACGAAAACATGTAACCCCATTTCAGGCTAACCCACGTGGTCTAGACATGTGAGCACGGTTAGATATAACTGCACATTATTGGTGAATTTGGCAATGTCAGGTTTATATTATACAATGGTTGGATAGATGAACATTTTGTTCACTTAACATAATTATACTTACAAAATTTCTGACCCCCAAAATGCCTACAAGGCGGTTACTTCACCGCAGCGAAGCACACCGGTCACCTCGAACCACCGTTCCAACTTCGGAGTTACCTCCCTTCCCCGTGAAGTCTTAAAACATAGATCGCAATCCGAAATAATCAAATCTTTCAGTAACAGCCGACATGACCCAATGCGCACCCATAGGCTTCATCTCCCTTATCTTCAGATCTGCAGCGGGGGGCGGTCGGGTAGCCTAGTGGTTAAAGCGTTCGCTCGTCACGCCAAAGACCCGAGTTCGATTCCTGACATGGGTACAATGTGTGAAGCCCATTTCTGGTGTCCCCCGCCGTGATATAGCTGGAATATTGCTAAAAGCGGCGTAAAACATACTCACTCACTCAGATCTGCAGCCTTTGTCTTGTACCTGCCTTCAAGTTTGTTGACACCTTCTCCGCATACCAATCAGTGACCTGTTGGTTTAACTTTTTTATTGTCTTACAACAGAATAAAAATATTAACTATTGTTGTTTTTAGGAAAACGTTTATTGTTTTTTTACGGAAGTGCTCTTCTCAGCGCTAATAAGCGGTGCTATTTGCTGTTAAGGTAAGGTTGGATTAAGGTAAGGTGGATTAAGGTAAGGTTGGATTAAGGTAAGGTGGATTAAGGTAAGATTGGATTAAGGTAAGGTTGGATTAAGGTAAGGTTGGATTAAGGTAAGGTGGATTAAGGTAAGGTTGGATTAAGGTAAGGTTGGATTAAGGTAAGGTGGATTAAGGTTAGATTGGATTAAGGTAAGGTGGATTAAGGTAAGGTTGGATTAAGGTAAGGTGGATTAAGGTAAGGTTGGATTAAGGTAAGGTTGGGTTAAGGTAAGGTGGATTAAGGTAAGGTTGGATTAAGGTAAGGTGGATTAAGGTAAGATTGGATTAAGGTAAGATTGGATTAAGGTAAGGTTGGATTAAGGTAAGGTTGGATTAAGGTAAGGTGGATTAAGGTAAGGTTGGATTAAGGTAAGGTTGGATTAAGGTAAGGTGGATTAAGGTAAGGTTGGATTAAGGTAAGGTGGATTAAGGTAAGATTGGATTAAGGTAAGATTGGATTAAGGTAAGGTTGGATTAAGGTAAGGTTGGATTAAGGTAAGGTGGATTAAGGTAAGGTTGGATTAAGGTAAGGTTGGATTAAGGTAAGGTGGATTAAGGTAAGGTGGATTAAGGTAAGGTTGGATTAAGGTAAGGTGGATTAAGGTAAGGTGGATTAAGGTAAGGTGGATTAAGGTAAGGTTGGGTTAAGGTAAGGTGGATTAAGGTAAGGTTGGATTAAGGTAAGGTGGATTAAGGTAAGGTTGGATTAAGGTAAGGATATGTATCATTCCACTGGGGATGGGATGGGGGGAGTCACATTGATATTAAGTCACATTTTTAGCTAGGTTTAGCTTAATTTCAAGATTTACAGTATATACATGTAGGGTTATTTTGTGAGAACAAATTTTATTTGCGTGAAATAGAAGATCTGCTGGGACAGAATATTAACAGTGTCACACTGTTTGCAGGGGGAAGAACCACCCGTAGTCCAGGAGAAGAAGAGGAATCTACCGCTGGCTGACACTACACCACCTCCTAAAAAGAAGAAGACGAAACCACTTGAGATTGACCTGCCTGATGCACCGTTTGATGGTAACCTTCTCGTTTTCACACTTTGCAAAGGGGATCCTGGAATCTTGAAATTAAGGACCCCTTTAGCCTTGATATTTAGCTCACCTGCTTGAAAGTCATCAATCTCATTATAATCAGACCTCAGTTCTTCTCGCTACCGCCAAACAAAGGACATCCCATTAGGGGTCACGTTAGAACGACCTTTCATCTGACCAATCAGAGAATCGCTTACCAGCATATGAAAGTGGCAGTCGGAATGTGATTTCTAATATGCAACCTCGAAAACTTTAACTCCGAACGATAGTTACGGTTTTAACGACTGAATCGATACAATATAGACCATCTTTTAGCCATTCCAGAATGTTCTTTTGTTCAGGTTTAAAATTTGTAATCGAGAATTTGTCAAAATATGTTTTGAAGCGTAGTCGCCAATTTTAAATTAGTGCCGTAAAGCACGAGAAAGCTGCCTTCTGATTAGTCATTCCATTAGTCGGTCAAAGTTCGCGCAAGGTCAGTCTGACGTGGTGGGGAGGTCACCAATATTTGTCTCAACTATATTGGGGGTGGGCTGGGGGATGGCATGAAAAAATGACACAGTTCGACATTTCTATCCCTGTAGCTTCATGACACAATAGGCTTTAGTGAGAGCCTACCTGTTGATGTCATGCTGTTCCATGTTGGACAAGCTAAAATGTTGTGTGTAGTTTCATTGTGTTTCTATCTCAAAACCTTCATCACCAGAAATTCATCCACTGCTGAATGTGAAGAAACCTCAAGAAAAATCTCAACAGCGGAAACAGACGCGGCCGCCCAAACCACGAACATCCAAACCTGAGAAATCGCGACACAAGACGAGGGACGAGAGTTACAGCTTGAAGGAAAATGTAAGCATTGGAAACATTTGTACAGCTAATCTTCTGGTTGTTGTGGGGCGGTCGGGTAGCCTAGTGGTTAAAGCGTTCGCTCGTCACGCCGAAGAACCGGGTTCGATTCCCGACATGGGTACAATGTGTGAAGCCCATTTCTGGTGTCCCCCGCCGTGATATTGCTGGAATATTGCTAAAAGCGGCGTTAAACCATACTCACTCACTCACTCACTCACTCTGGTTGTTGTACTAACCAATATAGTCTATGACTAAACCATTGGAGTCCACTTTCAGGAATTGTCTGTGGAATCATTTTCAGGAGTCTTTGGAGTTAATTAAAGTTAACAAATGATGATAAGAATTTGTCCCCTTATTTATTTCAGGTATGAAGAAAATCATGGCAGTATTTCAAGAAAACCAGATCCTCAGGATGATCGCCATGGCAACAAGTGTGGATGATGGATGAAGATGTTGGGAGATGCGCGGCCATGATGGAAATGGACCCTACTTCAATCAACCACTTGGATGAGGTGGAAGACTTTAGATTCTGTGTGGACAGATACATGCTTGCCAGAATGTTAAATGGAATTGCAGTTGGACCAGTGATGGATGGATAGAAGTTCACGTTAGTGTTGTGGGATTATTGCAGACTTTGCTGGATCCAGGGCTGAGGAACTGCTCATATTTTGCATACTGAAACTGCTATTGGTGCAAGGCACTGATGCTAGAGATAGGTTTGCTTCTGAGGAAGTCTTGGAGATTTCTCGGTAGAGTTAGTGTCGGCCGTCAAAGATGTCTGTCATAGACTGGACGACTGAAGTGGAAATTGACTAAATATGGCCTGGCTGATTGTGAGTCGTCAGAAAAGGTCATATTGTTGACCACCAGTTTGCCTGGTCCAGAATTCATTGATTAGACTGCTGTGAAATAGCTGAAATATTGCTGACTTCAGCATTCACTCACTACCCCTGGATAGTGGAGTGAACGAATGACATGGACAGAAGCTCATACTGTTGAAAACAGATTGTCCAGAAGGAATTATTTACAGAGTGTGAAATAGCTGAAATATTGCTGACTTCAAGATAAACAACATTCACTCACTACCTCTGGATAGTGGAGTGAATGAATGGTATGGACAGAAGCTCATACTGTTGAAAACAGATTGTCCAGAAGGAATTATTTAGTCTGCGAAATAGCTGAAATATTGCTGACTTCAAGATGATCAACATTCACTCACTACCCCTGGATAGTGGAGTGAGCGAATGGCATGGACAGAAGCTCATACTGTTGAAAACATATTGTCCAGAATGAATTATTTAGTCTGCGAAATAGCTGAAATATTGCTGACTTCAAGATAAACAACATTCACTCACTCACTCTGGGTGATGAAGTGACCCAGGATCATGGACAGATGTTCATGTTGTCAACCATTGGTTGACCTATGCATGGCTATGTACAGGATATCATCAATAATAGTACACAACTTATGAAGCTCAAGACTCCACACCTTGCCCGGCGTGTGGAGGCAGCTGAAAGCCTTAACTTGTAAATACAGTATTACATGATAGCTGCTATACACAAGGTGTACATAGTGCTGCTGAAATAAACTATACAAACATAGAGTCTGTCTTCGTCTCTCACAAGACCGCCTCCGTGGTCTAGTGGTAGAGCGTCCACCCAGAGAGCGGAAGGTCCGGGGTTCGATCCCCAGCCGCGTCATACCAAAAGACGTTAAAAGATGGTACTTGTTGTTGCCCTGTCTGGCGCTCGGCATTAAGGGGCTAAAACAAGGACTGGTCGGCTTGGAGTCAGTATACTGTGTTAAGTGGGGTATTCATGTTAAACTGCGGCATGGTATTTCAGTGTGCTAGGACTATAAATCGGCATCAGTCTGGACTAGTACAAGCAGCCACACACACGTACACGTGCATGCACGTCGCTATATAAGTGCAATAATCTTGGACGCAATGTTAAACCCCATTTCACCTCATCTATCTCTCGTCTCTCACAACATGGGCTGTTCAACCAAAGGCATAGGGTCGACAGGATCTGAGTGTACAACCCAACTTCAGGGGAACAGGTTTTGAACATAGCTAGCTATGATCATCTGAGAGTTCGTGGGTTTGTTTCCATGTAAATGCTATACAATGTTAACAATCCCGCCACATCCCACAAGCAGCAAGCACCATTTCAACAGAAGGTAGGGGCGGTCGGGTAGCCTAGTGGTTAAAGCGTTCGCTCGTCATGCCAAAGACCCGGGTTCGAATCCCGACATGGGTACAATGTGTGAAGCCCATTTCTGGTGTCCCCCGCCGTGATATTGCTGGAATATTGCTAAAAGCGGCGTAAAATCAAACTCACTCACTCAACAGAAGATACCAACATGAGGGAACAAGAGATTTTTCCCCGAATCATTTTCTTATCTTTCACCAATGTTATTTTAATCCCAGATTGAAAAGTACAATTTAAGCATTGAATAATTTACTGAATTTAAATGAAGTGTATCTGGTATTGTAGAAATTAATATTGTGGTGTTCTTTTGAATAGCTTTGGTCATCCTGGCAGCAGTAAACTTGTATTGTGAATAGTATGTAGAGACAAATATTGTGGTACACTTGTGAATAGCTTTGGTCATCCTGGCAGCAGTAGACTTGTATTGTGAATAGAATGCAGAGAGAAATATTGCGGTACACTTGTGAATACATGTAGGTTTGGTCATCGTGGCGGCAGGAGACTTGTACTGTGAATAGTGAGTGAGTGAGTGAATTGGGTTTAACGCCGCTTTAACAGTATTCCAGTTATATCGGGGCGTGTCAGCTTAATGTGGGAGGAAAGCCCGATGTGATGCAGGTCTCAGGCGTTTACCACTTCGGTGAAACCCACGAGCACGGGTATGGTGCTGACAAACCTAGAAACATAATCGGGGCGAACCGGGATTTGAACCCACAATCATAGGTTTCTGGCGTGCCCAAGGACGCAACTCTGCACAGCGAATCGCGGCGCCTTAGACGACTGGCCCACCCGTGCCCCAGTACTGTGAATAGAATGTAGAGAAAAATATTGAGGTACACTTGTGAATAGCTTTGGTCATCCTTGCAGAAGGAGACTTGTATTGTGAATAGAATGTAGAGAAAAATATTGCGGTACACTTGTGAATAGCATTGGTCATCCTGGCAGCAAAGGTTGTTCAGAATGCAACACAAATTTGTTTTAACAGTTTTATTAACAAAGCTTGAGGTAAAAGAAGTTTGGACAAGACGAGAACACAGAACATGTGACGTGCCGAGTACAGAACATTCTAAAATGTTGACAGCTGAAATGATTCAGTCTGGCTAACTAATGAGACGTACCTACTCCAATAAGGGAAATAGTCAGGGAAAAAACATGGAGAAATTATTCTTTTTTCAGTGATGGTAACATTTCATTTACCTCAAAATAATAATTATACCATTGTTCTTGGTAATATTCATACAAAATTTATCCTTATACAATCAGATTATTTTCAAACATTTACATACTTTCGTTTGTGACTCATTACGAAGAAACAAAGGGATTGCTGTATTGCTATATCACAGTGTGAAGCCTTGAAGAGAGCAGCACGATGTTCAAATTCAAAGTTATTTGACGGACACAATGTGCTGCCTATACCATCCCCACAACTCAACCCCACCAGCCCACATTAACCATAAATATATCTTCAACTTTAAAGCATCATGACTCAAGATGTCATCTTTTATATACAGAGATCTTGTCACATGCACATTTAAACATTGAATCATAATTCTGATTTTACAAAATCTTTCTCAACTTTCAGAATGATATTAGTAAGACATCACTAAACTTGCACAGTTTGTTGTTAGAACAAAAAAACACTGGTTAAAACTCACATGCTTACAAAAATAAAAACAGATCGTAAAAGAAACAGAATATCACATGTGCTTTTGTAAGATCTTAAACATTCAAACTGCTTTCTAAAGGTTTAAGGGCTTATTTCAAGAGAGGATATAAATGTCTTTAATCTAACAACAATCTGATGTGAAAGTAAATATTTTCATGATTGAATTACAAATAGCACTGACAATGTATTTCCATGTAAGTCAATTAAAAAATCTTTCAGAGTTCCTTTATATCTGAGTCAAAATAACTATCAGAGAAAATTTACAAATCATAATTTATCAATTTGAGGACATTTGGGAACATTTTAATTTAGATTGAGTTCAAAGTTGAAAACTACTTCCCAAATTTTAAATTCCCCTGAAGTCTTGAACCACTAAACTTGGGGTGGTTCCGTAGATTTGGGCATATGCCATGTCACCATTCCTGCAGGGGAGATACCTCTCTGCAGAGCCTGGAGTTCCGGTTCTGGGGTTCCGACCATGTTCGCTGCAAAACCTGCCGCCGCAATCTCCGCAGGACATGTGGGCACAGAGGGGGATGGTGGTTTGGATGTATGGGATGATGGCCGCTGTGCTCTCTCCATGCGCGATTCTCCCGGACGTGGCCAGTCGATGGACTTGAGTGAATTGTTACAGCCCGGGATAGGGTTCATTGCTCCAGATCGGATCCGGGACTCCACGGCGGGCTCCCCGGCACCTGATAATCTCCCTGAGGCGAATTTGGGCGTGGCTGATTTGGGCGTGGCTGGTTTCAGAGTTGTGGCTGCTAAGATGGTTTCAACATCATCCTGAACCCGCTGTGGTGGAGGGATCTGTACAAGTAGAATAAGATGACATTATTATTTAAATCAACACTCTACAAATACATTTTTCACCTACATTTAAGCCTGTCTCTAAAACAATTGCGAACCAACTGATCATTTCCCAAGTTTATTAACATATATCATAGGCTCAGTACACTAGTGATTCACTGAGTGAGTGAGTGAGATGGGTTTAACAACGCTTTGATGTATTCCAGTTATATCATGGTGTGTCCGCTTCATGTATGGTCTGGAAGGTAATTTAAGGTACCGACGTTTACTACAATATCTGAAAAACTATCGGATCTACTCCAGTCAAAGTTGGTATGAGATTATTAAACAGTCATACATAACTGGATATTACATTTAAAGACAATCGGTGCATGAATAAAAAATCTGTCTATTTAGCTATCACTATATTTCATCAACAACCAGACCTGTTTGTCACGGGTGGAACGAGCATTCATTGAAACAGCCATCTGCATAATGCTACCCCTGCGTCACAGGGCCATATGACACAGTTGAACCAATCAACTCAACTCGAAAGGGTGCACGGGAATCACGCACGTTGAGACGCCCAATGCTAACACTGTATTCGTGCGTGCGTGATTCCCGTGCACCCTTTCGAGTTGAGTTGTAGTATTGTAGTAAACGTCGGTACCTTAAATTACCTTCCAGACTATAGGAGGAGGGCCTCAAGTGATGCAGGTATGAGGTGTTTACTTCGATGAAACACACAAGGACTTGGTCCTACAACTTTGCCATCCGACAAAATCAACTTATCTGATTTTTTTTGTTAACTTACCTAAGAAAAACTCTGATCCTATTTATATTCATATGCTGTTAGTTGTCATTAAATACATCCGGCCTTGCCAAGTGGTAGGGTAAGCCCTTCTAGTGCAGTGCGTAATATAGAAAGGCATTTTTGATAAAAAAAAACAACCTACAAATGATTTTCAACACCAAGTAAATAAACCTAAGTCAATAATCGTTCTGAACCAGCAGAGCTCAAGAATTCCACATTTTCAGAATTAAATGTTTGGGGGTTGGGGAATGTCTAAAACTTAAGGATACAGTTTTTTTTATCAGACATAAAACTTTTGAATGGTCCCTTATCTTGCAATGATGGGCTGCTTCATTATGTTGAGAGTTGTCTCCCTTACCCTGCACCTCTTGAGATGCCCATTCAGGATAATCTCCCCATCTGTCTTCATCCTGTCCAACTTCGTAATGGCTTGTCCAGACCGGGCAGTGCTGTTGGTGATGTTGTTTCCTAGAAACAAGGGAGGGAACTCTGTCAGTTATACATCTGGGGATAAATCTAAGTTAAATGTCAGGCAAGGAAATTACTCACAAGCGGAAGCCTTTTATGGCCAGGTGTTTTTTCATTTTTTTCGATACTATCTTGAAATTTCAAGATAATAAGTTGAAATTTCAAGATACTATCTCGAAATTTCAAGATACAGAAGTTGAAATTTCAAGATACTAAGTTGAAATTACAAGATACTATACTTCTATTTCAAGAAGTTTAAATTTCAAGATACAGAAGTTGAAAATTTTATTATAAATTGTATATTTATATACTTATCCTATCTCACACTTATTATCTTATTATCTTGAGGGGGGCATGGGTGGCCCAGTCTTCTAAGACCCTGCGATTCGCTATGCAAAGTTGCGTCCCTTGGGCACGCCAGAAACCTATGATTGTTGGTTCGAAACCTGGTTCGCCACAATTATGTTTCAAGGTTTGTCAGCACCATACCCGTGCTCGTGGGTTTCACCGAAGTGGTAAACGTCTGAGACCTGCATCACTTTGGGCTTTCCTCCCACATAAAGCTGACACGCCCTGATATAACTGGAATACTGTTAAAAGCTGCGTTAAACCAAAACTCACTCACTCACTATTATCTTGAAATTTCAACTTAGTATCTCGAAATTTCAACTTAATATCTTAGATAGTATCGAAAAAAACAAATGGCCCTAAAAGGCTTCCGAAGGAATGGACTACAACATTGCAGCAAGGAATCTTCAGATTAACAATACTGGGTTTCTGACATGAAATGAAAAATGCAGACCAGCATTTCAGAGCAAGACAGGTGTTCTAATAATAATCGGGGCGGTCGGGTAGCCTTGTGGTTAAAGCGTTCGCTCATCACGCCGAAGACCCGGGTTCAATTCCCGACATGGGTACAATGTGTGAAGCCCATTTCTGGTGTCCCCCGCCGTGATATTGCTGGAATATTGCTAAAAGCGGCGTAAAACCAAAATCACCCACTCACACACTCTAATAATAATCACAAATCCACTTTCAGTAAGCGATCCATGTTTTTATGTGTACCCCCTTCCGGATTTTGTATTCGCCCACCACATGGCTACAGTAAACAAGGTCACTCTATCTTATGACATGCCTTGTACTTTATGATGTACACGACATTATAACAACAGGTACCCTTGTCCTATATTTCCAGTCCTGAGTGCTGTTCCACCCGTAATAGCACTATGACCTAAACCATGTTGTAGGGCCACTTCGAAGAGGTCATAGCAACAACACACTTTCATCAAGTGGCACCCAGTGTTTAACAGGTTACTGGACAGTTGATCCAAAAGTAGGAGTGTTGGGTGTGTTGTCTGCATTACTAAAGACGAAATAATAACTTTCAATGCCAGGCTTGCCTTGACAAACCCAATCTTATTAATATCAGTTCTTGCCAAGGCTGCAAGGGTCATGTCAGAACGACCCTTCATGCACATTGACTGACCAATGAAATGAGCAACAAGAAGTCGACATAAGCCAATCAGAAAGCAGCTTCTCGAGCTACCGGTATACGGCACTAGTTTCAAACTGGTAACTCACTCTTTGAAAAATATTTGACATACCGTATCCGACGTAATAAGCGCCCCGCTCTAATAAGCGCCCATGGCGATATCTGCTAATATAATGGCTAGTGAACAATCCCAATTAGCACCCTTTCCGATTGATCAATGTACAAATGACTTACTTATTCGCATACAATACGCACTCGTGTGTTATATGAACCCATAGTTATGGGCAATTAAGTTCTGGAAAAATATATCTGTCTATATAAACATTTCAGGCTGTCAGCATAAACCACGGAATTTATCTTTCAACTCTGTTTTTTTTTCACCAAAATAATATTCTAATAAGAGCCCCCTGTTTCTAATTTTGAGAGCACCCTGGGCGCTTATGACGTCGAATACGGTAGTTCTTAATGCAAAATTTGAAAAGTGAACAAAATAACATGCTGGAATAGCTAAGGCTTCAAGTGATAAAAGGATTGGTTCTCTGGCAATAGCTTTTGAAAATGGCGATGTTTTTTTGTTGTTGTTCAAACTAGTATGTAACCAAATAAACAGTTGTGTAACCAAATAAACAGTTGTGTACAATCAACCTGGGAAAGGGCCTCTCTACATGTATTCCTTGATGAGTAAAATACTTGAATACAGTATTTGACTACTGATGGATATTTAAGGATTTTTCTGGGTTTTTTTGAAAGGAAATAAAACAAAACATGCAGTGAACTTTATGATGATGCGGGCAGTGCCCGAGAAACAAGACTTTTATTTTTTTTAGCCTAATAGGTTGCCTAGATCGCATGGCAGTACTTTGCACGGGTAATGCAAAGTCTCTTCGTTCAAATGTTGATCCCATTGAAGCGAAGTCCGTGACTGTCGTTCAGAATACACTGTGTTAAACTTTTCGGGGTTGCATGATTGAAAACATGTTCTGATTGTCACTTTCCTGATCTGGTAAGCGGTCTGATTGGTCAGATGAAGGTCGTGACGTGACCTGTGATGGGAAGTCCTCAGATCTTCGTTTAGCAGTAGCAAGAACAAACATCTTATTTTAATGAGATCGCACCAAACCAGTGGTTGATAGCATGAGTAATGACTCATGCCGATGGTCACGGAAGTCGAAGCTTACAGTAACATGGGTTACTGTCAGCATAAACCACGAAATTTATCTTTCAACTCTGTTTTTTTCACCAAAATAATATTCTAATAAGAGCCCCCATATTTCTAATTTTGAGAGTGCCCTGGGCGCTTATTACGTCGAATACGGTAAGTTGGACATTTTCAGGACGTGGAAATTCGGATATCACACAAAACGCAAAGCCCGGTAACAATATCCAAAGAAAATTTTCTTTTTGGTTATTTATGGAACAACCACCTTATCATTTTTAGTCAAAACAAATCATTTTCAACTTTAGAAATAATAACTATCCACCAAAAGCCCAATTTATCCGTAAGGAGCTCACTGAATTAACAAAGTTAACAAAGTATACGTCCATCATTAATTGAAATAGAGATTACTTCAATAAGCTTTAATTAGCTTTGGTCAAGCTGACATGCCTTATTTCTTTAAATATATTGTTATGCAAACCATGTTAATGCTCTAGAAAAATAAACAAATTATTAAATTTAAAAAAAATAAATAAATAAAAAAAATAAATAAATAAAAAAATAATAATTAAATTTTAAAAAAAATAAATTAAAAAGATAATTAAAAAATCGGTATGTGTTCCTCACCTGGTACTTTGGTGGGCATGTCCCAAGTGCCAACGAATGCGCCCCATGGCGATGACCGGTCTCTTGTCACGCCAGGTCGCAGGTGCCCTCTGTCTGAAGCGATGATCTGAGTAAATCCCTCACGAGACGATGGGTACTGAAAACACACACAAACTGTGATAACAGATTATTTTTTCTTTCTTTGACAATTTTTGGCATATTCTGATAAAGAAGAATTTCATAAACACTGTACGTCTGCAAAGTTACGTTCAAGCTGAACACATCCACTCTCATCCACTGACAACCTCATCCCTGTTTTTGTCAATCTCATTAAAATCGTATCTTAGTTCTTGCTAAACAAAGATCTGAGGACATCCCATTACGGGTCACGTCAGAATGACCTTTCGCAAATTTTGACCGACCAATGAAATGACTGACAAGAAATCGACATTAGCCAATCAGAAGGCAGCTTTCTCGAGCTTTACGACACTAGTTGCAAACTGGCGACTACGCTTCGAAACATATTTTGACGTATTCTCGTCTACATGGTCTAATGGTAGAGTATGTATGTACAAAGTTCAGTGTCGGCGTACCCATCTGTTTGTGTTTGTATGTACAAAGTTCAGTGTCCCCGTACCCATCTGTTTGTGTTTGTATGTACAAAGTTCAGTGTCGGCGTACCCATCTGTTTGTGTCTGTATGTACATAGTTCAGTGTCGGCGTACCCCTCTGTTTGTGTTTGTATGTACAAAGTTCACTGTCAGCGTACCCATCTGTTTGTGTTTGTATGTACAAAGTTCAGTTTCGGCGTACCCATCTGTTTGTGTCTGTATGTACAATGTTCAGTGTCGGCGTACCCATCTGTTTGTGTCTGTATGTACAAAGTTCAGTGTCGGCGTACCCATCTGTTTGTGTCTGTATGTACAAAGTTCAGTGTCGGCGTACCCGTCTGTGTTTGTATGTACAAAGTTCAGTGTCGGCGTACCCATCTGTTTGTGTTTGTATGTACACAGTTCAGTGTCGGCGTACCCATCTGTTTGTGTTTGTATGTACAAAGTTCAGTGTCGGCGTACCCATCTGTTTGTGTTTGTATGTACAAAGTTCAGTGTCGGCGTACCCATCTGTTTGTGTTTGTATGTACAAAGTTCAGTTTCGGCGTACCCATCTGTTTGTGTCTGTATGTACAATGTTCAGTGTCGGCGTACCCATCTGTTTGTGTCTGTATGTACAAAGTTCAGTGTCGGCGTACCCATCTGTTTGTGTCTGTATGTACAAAGTTCAGTGTCGGCGTACCCGTCTGTGTTTGTATGTACAAAGTTCAGTGTCGGCGTACCCATCTGTTTGTGTTTGTATGTACACAGTTCAGTGTCGGCGTACCCATCTGTTTGTGTTTGTATGTACACAGTTCAGTGTCGGCGTACCCATCTGTTTGTGTTTGTATGTACAAAGTTCAGTGTCGGCGTACCCATCTGTTTGTGTCTGTATGTACAAAGTTCAGTGTCGGCGTACCCATCTGTTTGTGTTTGTATGTACACAGTTCAGTGTCGGCGTACCCATCTGTTTGTGTTTGTATGTACAAAGTTCAGTGTCGGCGTACCCATCTGTTTGTGTTTGTATGTACACAGTTCAGTGTCGGCGTACCCATCTGTTTGTGTTTGTATGTACAAAGTTCAGTGTCGGCGTACGCATCTGTTTGTGTTTGTATGTACAAAGTTCAGTGTCGGCGTACCCATCTGTTTGTGTTTGTATGTACATAGTTCAGTGTCGGCGTACCCATCTGTTTGTGTTTGTATGTACAAAGTTCAGTGTCGGCGTACCCATCTGTTTGTGTTTGTATGTACAAAGTTCAGTGTCGGCGTACCCATCTGTTTGTGTTTGTATGTACACAGTTCAGTGTCGGTGTACCCATCTGTTTGTGTTTGTATGTACAAAGTTCAGTATCCCCGTACCCATCTGTTTGTGTTTGTATGTACAAAGTTCAGTATCCCCATACCCATCTGTTTGTGTTTGTATGTACAAAGTTCAGTGTCGGCGTACCCATCTGTTTGTGTTTGTATGTACAAAGTTCAGTGTCAGCGTACCCATCTGTTTGTGTTTGTATGTACAAAGTTCAGTGTCGGCGTACCCATCTGTTTGTGTCTGTATGTACAAAGTTCAGTGTCGGCGTACCCATCTGTTTGTGTTTGTATGTACAAAGTTCAGTGTCGGCGTACCCATCTGTTTGTGTCTGTATGTACAAAGTTCAGTGTCAGTGTACCCATCTGTTTGTGTTTGTATGTACAAAGTTCAGTGTCGGCGTACCCATCTGTTTGTGTCTGTATGTACAAAGTTCAGTGTCAGCGTACACATCTGTTTGTGTTTGTATGTACAAAGTTCAGTGTCGGCGTACCCATCTGTTTGTGTTTGTATGTACATAGTTCAGTGTCGGCGTACCCATCTGTTTGTGTCTGTATGTACAAAGTTCAGTGTCAGCGTACTCATCTGTTTGTGTCTGTATGTACAAAGTTCAGTGTCGGCGTACCCATCTGTTTGTGTTTGTATGTACATAGTTCAGTGACGGCGTACCCATCTGTTTGTGTTTGTATGTACAAAGTTCAGTGTCGGCGTACCCATCTGTTTGTGTTTGTATGTACAAAGTTCAGTGTCGGCGTACCCATCTGTTTGTGTTTGTATGTACATAGTTCAGTGTTGGTGTACCCATCTGTTTGTGTTTGTATGTACATAGTTCAGTGTCGGCGTACCCATCTGTTTGTGTTTGTATGTACAAAGTTCAGTGTCGGCGTACCCATCTGTTTGTGTTTGTATGTACAAAGTTCAGTGTCGGCGTACCCATCTGTTTGTGTTTGTATGTACATAGTTCAGTGTCGGCGTACCCATCTGTTTGTGTCTGTATGTACATAGTTCAGTGTCGGCGTACCCATCTGTTTGTGTCTGTATGTACAAAGTTCAGTTATCGGCGTACACAGCCGAGAGGGAAAGAGTATTACTCACGCGACCAAACCCTGTTGGCACTTCCCAGTTCTTCAAAGTCTTGAATGCATTTTCATACTGAAAAGAAAAGAAAGATATTTAGAAAAAATAACAAAATGATAACAGAGCCAGTGCATCAAGTAAGATGTAAAATACTTACCATTCGAAACATATATCCAGTTGTCCCATTAGGGTTTTCGGGTACTCGGGTCGGGTGGGTCCTGGGTAGGACCTGGGAACCCACAGTACTTCCCGGACCCGTGGTTATTCACTTGACTATGAGTCGCTAATGTTCGCATTTCTTTCTGACGATGCACACATTCCTTTTGACTTATATATGTTTGAGTAAAGATAAAGCTTCAGTCAACTTCTGTGTACGCATGATCTGATCGTTTGAAACATGTATCTAAATAGTTTGGCCAGGGCTATGGTCAGACATTATGTGCCCAGCTCTTGAGACCTACAGTGGGTGCCCGGGTAGGGCTGGGCTGTGGTCAAACATTCCCAATCAGATATTATGTGCCCAGCTCTTGAGACCTACAGTGGGTGCCCGGGTAGGGCTGGGCTGTGGTCAAACATTCCCAATCAGACATTATGTGCCCAGCTCTTGACACCTACAGTGGGTGCCCGGGTAGGGCTGGGCTGTGGTCAAACATTCCCAATCAGACATTATGTGCCCAGCTCTTGAGACCTACAGTGGGTGCTCGGGTAGGGCTGGGCTGTGGTCAAACGATCACCAATCAGACATTATGTGCCCAGCTCTTGAGACCTACAGTGGATGCCCGGGTAGGGCTGGGTAATAGGGGGTTGGGCACCCGGGTAGTAAATTTACCATCACACAACCTGCTTGAAATAGGACAACCTGGATCCACCACATACTGCTTGTTTATCAACAATGTGTTGATCCCCCACCCCTATCAAATAATTTATATTCCTAAACAATTTTGGGGGAGATTGAAGCATTTTGGCAATAAGTAAATTAAAGTCAACAAATACCTGACTAGAGTCTGTATGTGATTGTGAATTACATTTCTCATTCAAACATCAGGCTGAGCACCAGACAGGGTAACAACAAGTACCATCTTTTAACGTCTTTTGGTATGACGCGGCCGGGGATCGAGCCCCCGACATTCCGCTCTCCGGGCGGACGCTCTACCACTAGACCACAGAGGCGGTCTCAAAATGCATGAGAGTAATTTGGGTGTATCCATAGTTGAGTAACCATTCTTTTAAGGCAAATGATGGATTAGTTTGTGTGTTTATGAGGAGCAGACAGAAAAGAGTAGTCTCTCCTACAAAACTTGAAATAAAATTATTTGAAAACTCCCAAGCAAGTCAACAATATTTTCAAAAGTCTATTTTTCTTCATAATCTGAAAAGGAAGAGATTACCTAGGCTCATAAATATTAAATGTTAAAAGATTTGGTTCACTTGCACAGATTTTTGATGCACTAACATACTGAAAATATTGACCCTCCCCTAATGCTTGTCTTATTTTTAAATGACGCTCCCCATATCTTTGTACATTTCTTTCATAACCCTTCCTGAAATGACATAATACATGTATCATATATTTTATTATAAAATGTCAATTTTTATTATCCTCAGCAAACCTGTATTTTATTATGACACTCCCCTAGAGACTGTCAATTTTGTTTTGTGACCCTCCGCTTATTCCTCTCACCGGGTTATAGCTAAAACAGCACCTCAGCAAAATATGTCACCAGCGAAAACGTCACCTATAAGTGAAAACGTCACCTCGCCTCAAGCGAAAAACGGCTACTGTTGCCTGGGGAAAACGGCACCTTATTCTTTTGTTTTACCTTTGTAAAATAAATGAAATTAAACTTACATGGTCACTTGCAAACACCAATAATTGTGAAATGTTAAATCAAGTTTACATTAGAAATTAGCCCCCTACTCCAATTTACAGTATGATCTTCTCAAAGCATGAGACAATACATAAAATAAATTTTGTCTAAAGTAATAAAAATAATTAGTTTTAGCAGGTACACTTTATCAAGAACAAAACAGTATTATTTTTTTATTATTTATCACGAAAATTTGCTAAAATAATTATTTTTGGAAAAGTTCTAAATCCATTGTTGTCATAATGGGTAAACGTGTAAATACATCAAATACATAAAATAACCTGTAAATAAACCATATATATACTACGTTATTAAAAATAGAGGTGCCATTTTCGCTCGACACATAGTAGTCATTTTCGTCAATTGCATGCCGTTTTCGCATAGAAATCGGTGACGTTTTGCTGAGGTGCTGTTTTAACCTGCACCCCTCTCACCCACCCCTATAATCCTATAATCAATGACCGGTCCCTCATAAAAGTATTTTCACCAGGAACCCAAACACCTTTATTTAGCAGGATGACTAAATGTCTTGGCAGATAAAAAAATTCGAAACCGTTTCTAAGAAAAGAGCTTGAGCATCTGCAATGTAGCCATAGATTTAACCAAAATATCTGTAAAATATACTTCACAGACGTTAATGTTAGTCCTGAGAAAGATGTTAATCTAATTATAGTATGCAACAACAACATATCCTGAGCCCACTCTTGACGTTTCACAAACCCAAATTGTAAAAAACGCGTTTAATTTACAACATATGATATTTGGGGCCCCATATATGAAAGCATACAGACATTACGAAGTGCAGAACTTCATTGTTCTTTAGAAGTCATTTTAACTGATTATGTACCAGTCACAAAATAATGTGATTGTTTACCTGGTTTGCACTGAAATTGATGCTCATCTTGTCCGGTCGCTGGGTAAGAAGCGGTCCCCTAAATTGCCAGATTCACTTTTCCCAGGAAGTGACAGTGAACTTCTCCCCGCTTACCCGCTGCTTACCACGTTGTCAAAACAACCATTCCCGTCTCCAAGTACTCCGCAGTAAATGAATATCAACTTCCGTTTTGAAATATATGTGCTTTTTTCACATTCAAACACTCATGATTTGAAAGTAAAGGGGCCACGTAAAGTAACGAATAGATTATGATGAAATATAATAAGTATTTTTAAATACCTAAATCACATTATAATTATATTTTATGCTGAACTACAATTGACAACCCCACGCGTTTCCGGTTTGGACGAAGCCAGAAAGTGATCGGATAATTTGAGGAAATATTTACCGAAAATGACATTTTTTCACTTTGGAAATTGTGTTGCTCTTGCTTACATTCCATATGTAATCCTGTACAAGTGTTCTGGACTGTAAGTTGGAAGAATTTGTCATCAATGCGATACATATTAACGAGTTAATCGAACCATTTCTAACCGGCTCACACGGTAATGGCTTGTAGTATTGTTGACAACATCTGAACATTACTTGCATTCCCTGAAATCGGCTGGTCCATTTATTCTGATCGGAAAAGACGACAACTGTAAACTGATATGAGCCTGAAAAATGGAATCATTAATATATTTGTAAAATTATACGGAGACCATTATGAAATGTCGACTAGTTGTTGCTGAAACTAAAGCCTATTTGTCAACTTTTTGTCATCTCTGAGCAGTAGCAGAACATCTCCAGAAAATAATCAGTGTAGTGCGGGATTCATTTTTTTAACTTCTCAGTTATGGTTCTGAATTTCTGGGGCAGAATTACTCATGATTACTTAGAAGTTGTGGAATTTTGCTGTGGACTGCTCTGCTTTTACTTTCTGATGTAACCCCACACATTTCCAGAAAGTGATCGGATAATTGCTTGCTGTAAAAGGCGACTTACTTGTCGTAAGAGGTGACGACTAACGGGATCGGGTGGTCAGGCTCGCTGACTTGGTTGATGCATGTCATCGATCCAAATTGCAGAAAGTGATTGGATAATTGCTTGCTGTAAAAGGCGACTTACTTGTCGTAAGAGGTAACTAACGGGATCGGGTGGTCAGACTCGCTGACTTTGTTGATGCATGTCATTGTATCCCATTTGTGTGGATCGATGCTCATCATGTCAATCACTCGAATATTGCTGACCACCCGATCCCGTTAGTCGCCTCTTACCATGCCTACGATAAGGATAGTTGCCTGTTTCGGCAAACATGGGTTGCTGAAGACCTGTTCTACCCTGGATCTTCACGGGTCAACTGGTTGATGTCAACATATTGGGTTCAAATGTTTAATCGTGTAGCATTTTGGCAGGGGTGTCTTTGATGGGAAAGTTTAGTATCGATTGTATCAACTCAAAAGTATCACAGTTTATCAGTATATTGATTTATGACAAAATACATTACTCTGTACGTGTTAGAATAATAACTTCAAACTTAATCATGTTAATCAGTAGAGGACGTAATGTGTAGGCGAGACGGCTCTCCCGTCTCGCGTACAAGTGACCACCTGTGAGGGGGTCACTCGTATGCGTGACGGCCTGTCAGTGGACCATGGATTTCTGCATGTTGCACAAAAATGTCTCTACAAGCGTTATTTGTGAAAATAATAAAACAAAATTAAGTACAGTTATTGATCATTCTACTAGTTATCGAATGACATGAGAAAAATGTCATAAGAAAAATAATAAACGGTCAAATTGGGAGAAAAATGTGCAAAAATCGAGCAAAATGTTCTGTTTTTGACAGCGATTTTCTCCTATGTACATATTTTTCAGAAACTAACAGATAGTATTTTCTAAAAGCTTATTCATCGTAGAGTTACAAAATATATAATGCTCAATATGAACTAGGCTGATCCATCAGATGTTCAAAATTTATCTTTTGGCCTTTTACTATCCATCTTAACCATGGTAATCTTAGCAAATGTAGACCCGTGAAGATTCCGGGGTAGAATAGGTCTTCAGCAACCCATGCTTGCCGTAAAAGGTGACTATGCTTGTCGTAAAAGGCGACTAACGGGATCGGGTGGTCAGGCTCGCTTACTTGGTTAATGCATGTCATCGATCCCAATTGCGTGGATCAATGCTCATGATAATAATCACTGGATTGTCTGGTCCAGACTCGATTATTTACAGACCGCCACCATATAGCTGTAATATTGCTGAGCGCGGCGTTAAACAACAAACCAACCAGCCAACCTAGCAAATGTAAACGTTTCTTTGGCAGTGAATTATTAACTTAGTATTGATATTCATAAATTTGTATCACTGTAGCATTCACATTAACAACTGATTGATACATCAATATTGAGATATTCGACGAAATCCCTACATTTTGGAATCAGTTCAATATGCCATATGTTATGATGGTTATAGACCATGTAGACTTGACAGATTATTAATAAGTATATTTGTTGAACCTGATCTCAACATGCTCATAGTTAACCGGGGGCACGGGTGGCCCAGTCGTCTAAGGCGCCGCGAATTGCTGTGCAGAGTTGCGTCCCTGGACACGCCAGAAACCTATGATTGTGGGTTCGAATCCCGGTTCGCCCCGATTATGTTTCTAGGTTTGTCAGCACCATACCCGTGCTCGTGGGTTTCACCGAAGTGGTAAACGTCTGAGACCTGCATCAGTTCGGGCTTTCCTCCCACATTAAGCTGACACGCCGAGATATAACTTGAATACTGTTTAAAGCGGCGTTAAACCCAGCTCACTCACTCACTCACTCACTCATAGTTAACCATCCATATTGATTTCTGGCAGCCTTTTAATATGTTGAATACTGTTACTGATTGGGTTTATAACTATTAGAAGCCATGTGATTTCTTTGAAATAAATAAATTTGGAGTCCAAATTTGTCCAGTTTCCTTTGCAGGTTGATGTGATATTTTATGCAGAAAGGCCAACATGCTCCAAAAAACACTATATTTCAGGGCAGAGTACAGTGCGTTCAACGAAATCCCTACATTTTAGAATCAGTTCAATATGCCATGTGTTATGATGGTTATACACCATGTAGACTTGACAGATTATTATAGCATTAATTAGTATATTTGTTGAGCCTGATTTCTGGCAGCCTTTTGATATGTTGAATACTATTACTGATTGGGTTTATAACTATTAGAAGCCATGTGACTTCTCAATCTCATTAAAATCAGATCTTAGTTCTCGCTATCGCTAAACAAAGATCCGAGGACATCCAATTACGGGTCACGTCAGACCGACCTTTCGCGAACTTTGACCAACCAATGGAATGACCAATCAGAAGGCAGCTTTCTCATGCTTTACGGCACTAATTTCAAATTGGCGACTACGTTTCGAAACATATTGTGACAAATTCTCGATTAAAAATTTGAATCCTGAACAAACAAACATTCTGGAATCGCTAAGCATGCTAAGAGATGGTTTAGGTTGTATGGATTCAGAAGTTAAACCCGTAGCTATTGTTCGGAATACCCTGTGTTAAAGTTTTCGAGGATGCATGATTAGAAAACACATTCCGTCCATCACTTTAATGATCTGGTAAGCAACGCTCTGATTGGTCGGATGAAAGGTCGTTCTGATGTGACCCGTAATGGGATGTCCTCAGATCTTTGTTTAGCGATAGCGAGAACTTAGATATGATTTTAATGAGATTGTGTGACTTCTTTGAAAGTAAGAAATTTGGAGTCCAAATTTGTCCCGTTTCCTTTGCATGTTGATGTGATATTTTATGCAGAAAGGCTAACATGCTCCACAAAACACTATATTTCAGGGCAGAGTACAGTGCGTTCTGGAAATGTGTGCAGGCAGGTGGAGCGTACATGTTCACTCAGCTGGTGAAGATGTTGATCCTTGCCACATTCTTCCCAGCATCAGAAGTGCCGATTGGCGGGCTGGACGTCACAGGGGTAAGTCAATTACACAGAGACCGCCTCCGTGGTCTAGTGGTAGATCGTTCGCCCGCAGAGTGGAAGGTCTGGGGTGTAATTCCCGGGCGCATCATACCAAAAGATGTTAAAAGATGGTACTTGTTGTTACCCTGTCTGGCGCTCGGCATTAAGGGGCTAAAACAAGGACTGGTCGGCTCGGAGTCAATATACTGTGTCTGAGTGGGGTATTCATGTTAAACTGCGGCATGGTATCTCAGCATGCTCAGTGGGCTAGCACTATAAATCAGCATCAGTCCGGACTAGTACAAGCAGCCACACACACATACACATATGCACACATGCAATCACATCGCTATATAAGTGCAATAATCTTGGATGCGATGTTAAACCCCATTACAACTCACCTCACCTCAATTGCCTACAATTACCTCCTGTAAAGTACATTTTGTATTGAGCACTGAGATAAAACTAGCAAATCCAGACTAGTACTTTTCCAGTTGTTTTGTTATTTCGTATTTACATCTATGTAATGCTTTGTGTCGATTATTAAATCCAGCAAAACAGTTTTTTTCCATTTCCATGAGTACTTTAGTTTCAAATTGCCGACTTGCATTCCCAACTATGCCTTATAAAGTATTTTAAGTCAGACATACAGTCCGTATCAGTAGTTTTTGAAAACGTATTCCGCTAACATTGTAACATAACAATATGATTATTTCCTTTTTTATTACGAGTTTGAATCGTTATCGATCGTGTAGTTGTCCGATTTTCGATCACGAACGTTAAAGTGAGTGAGTGAGTATGGTTTTACGCCGCTTTTAGCAATATTCCAGCAATATCACGGCGGGGGACACCAGAAATGGGCTTCACACATTGTACCCATGTCGGGAATCGAACCCGGGTCTTCGGCGTGACGAGCGAACGCTTTAACCACTAGGCTACCCGACCGCCCCCACGAACGTTAAAACAACCTAATTTCGTTTATAATAAATAACGGTAGAAACGATGAAACATACATGTAAACACGCGCGCGCACTGAATATCACAGGCAACATTGTGTGTAGAAAAACATACTGTCCAAGTTAGCCAATGGAATTTATGCCCGGGTAAAAATATTTGCATAAAGCGAATTCCGACCTGTCGACAACGGACAAGTACGTAAACCATCTGTCTTGTCATTGAATAAGATCATGTTTTCTTCCCCATTTATATTTATACTTAATGTTATTATTCTTGCAATTGCTATAGTGTAAATTATAGCTTATTCAACATATTGTTGCCATAACACGCGCAATTGAACTTGCAACAAACACCCGCCTGAAACACGTGGTGCTCTTTGTGATGCTGATGTATCCCATAATTATTATTGTTCGTGTTCACTAATAAATGGAGCTGTTGATGACATCTGAACACGATTTCAGAATGAACATATATATTTGGTGGGACTAAATATTTCATAAAGCAAAGAAACAAGACAACAGGCGTACGGATTTCTTCTGTTGACTTTTATTTCTAACATCCTCAAATAAACGATCAAAACGATATGCCTTAACTGTTCCATGACGGATGAAATAACTAATCAGCTGCTACCGTATTTTCTTGAGTATAGTGCGCAATATTTGTCCAAAAAACATAGCTGTGTAGAAGAGGGTGCGCAATATACACGAAATAATGACTTTTGATGATTTTTTTCCCCCATGGAAAGATATTGCCGTGGGCACGTAACACCGGAAATACCATGTCAACAATTCCATACTAAAGTACGCAAATTAATAATGTAATTACACTGTCTGGCTATAAAAAGTGTTGTTTTTTTATATCTGGACTTATGTATGTAACTTATTTCATTAATTCTATTCAAAATTCCTTTAAATATTGTTTTAATTAATTTCGGCGAAATCGCGTGCGAAGCGAGCGAAAGATTGCGCAACTCACCTTTTATTAACAGCGACCACGGTCAGATTACCGCTATTGACGCCTTGAAACGAACTTTAATTGACAGAGAATGGATACATATATCATAAATGCCATACTTTGACTCGTTAAAAGTCATATTTGTTATAGTTTGACGATTCTATGTCAACACGTAGTTCTGGCGATCACGTGCGCGAGAGCCTTGACGGTGACTGGTCAGACTGGTTCCATGTGAAAAATTATTACCCGGCAATAGCGATCAGCTGCTTCGCTTAGGGTTATTATTATTTAAAATATGTTTAGTAAAAGCTGCAACTAAATTAACAAGATATTGGGATATATTATTACTGATAAAAAATAGTTTCAGATACAATTTTTGCCGATCCTTGCATTAAAATACTGTAAAGTTATATATCATTGGGTGTGTCTTGACCGTATCACCGGTAGATTCCAAGAAAACGTGTGTAAAGCTGATAGCTGTGTCCGGCTTGGTTTACGAGAAAATACACAAGGTAATCTTAATCCCTGGATGTAAAACAATGCCTGGCAGAACAAAAAATACAATTTAAACGGTAAATAAATTTGTCTGGTGATTTTTTATCTCAAATTTTGAATTTGTACTGACCAAGTTTCTCATCACCCGTTCGTTTACCGGAATTCGCTGAAGGGGTAGATCTACAGTGTAATTTATTTCTGCACTTGACATTCGATTTTTCCCCCTAAAATACTGAATCCGCTAGAGGGGGTTGCGCACTATACTCAAGAAAATACTGGTAATTGATATAGGAAATACCCACACACTTGTGTGAACATCTACTGAATGTCGTATTGAATCGTAGACCATTCATTGTGTGCTATGATGAATAGATAAACCACTAAACTCGTGAAGTTCACGTAATAATTTTCAAACAATCCTGATAGTGCAACAAGTTAATTTTAAATCACACACATTCAAGTACACACACGTCTTTCCATGTATCCACATTCACCCGCTAACCGCACAGGCCGCAGACACCTAAACGAGCCTCCTGGTGGTAATGAAGGCCGGGAATCAACCAAGCGCTAACGGTGAAGTGACACCAATACACAGGACATTCAAAGTCCTTTTACACGCGCTTCAGTGACTTTGCCCACGCACGCGAAAAACCGGGTCCTGCAGTAGGAATTGAAAATCCACATCCCAGAGAGGCCACCCTGACTGATTACACAGAAAACATTTTTTTCAAGTTTAACGCACCAGCCAGCCAGAGATACACACATGGTACAAAACAGAGGCTGGTAGATGAAAAGCTTTCCAATGTTTTGCTTCAGGAGTTCCTCAAGTGCACCGTTGACTTGGCCGACCTGGTGGGCATCCACTTCGTCATGTCCCGGATTGCAGGGAAGGGTCAGCTCAAGTTCATGATAGCAGGCATGGGGTGGGCAACCGCAGAACTCGTCATGACCAGGTACTGTCCCCAGTTGGGGTTCCGGGTGGCAGTCAGACCCCGGAGACCGATGCTGGTTGTAATAGGCAGGGATGAGAATCTTCCACAGATCAGCAAATTTTAGTGACCACAAAATTTGTAAAATATGATGGCTTCCCTCAGATTATGTACCTTGCTCCATTGCAACATGTTGCAAAGATGTTTAAGCTGAAAGGGAAAATATCCATTCTCATCCCTGAATAGGTGACTTGTATGATGACATGGATGTCATACTACCCCGATTGTGTCCGTGTGAAGATCCAGGTTAGATGAGGTCCTCAGCAACCCATGCTTGCTGTAAAAGGTGACTATGCTTGTCGTAAAAGGCGACCAACAGGATCGGGTGGTCAGGCTCGCTGACTTGGTTGATGCATGTCATCGATCCCAATTGCGTGGATCGATGCTCATGATATTAATCACTGGATTGTCTGGTCATCATGTTACAGTTGCATGTCAGTCACTTGACTGATGGTCCGGGCTCGATTATTTACAGACCATCCTGCCCGACAGGTAGCACCCGTCACAAACACATGCAAAGGCCGTGATGTAGCTGGAATATTGCAACAAACAGACAAAACCCTGATCGTGTGGATTGTTGCTCACAATATCAATCATTAGACTCTATTATTTACCTTGTTTCCATATAGCTGCGATGTTGCAAACTGTGGTGTTAAACAACACATGCACTACCATATGCACTAACACTGGTCTGCTGGTCCGAGTCTAGCATATTAAGGACCAGTAAAATTAAATAAATGCTGGTCTGATGGTCTAGTGTTATTTTGGGGACAAACAAATAATTTCAGTTTGTACGACTTTGAATCTGAGAATGATCGACTCTAAATTCTGAGCGAAACCAGCAATGGAAACATCCCTGCGTGGTACAGTGGTATCTTCTTGGGTAGTTTCTCACTCTATTTGCACAAAGAAGTAAAACCTTTTAAAACCTTTTTAGTCGGATCCATTGTGTCCAGTAGATATACACCAGGACCAGTAGATTTTTCTATGTGCTGGTCCTTTGGGCCACTGAGGTATTTTGGTCAGTGTCCAACAATGACACATACATACACTACAAGGTACTAGCTGGCCATCATTAAAATCAGATTCAAGATGTCGCAACCGGTGAACAAAGGTAGGGGTCACGTCAGAACGACCTTTCATCTGACCAATCAGTGCATCCATTACCAGATTAAGAAAGTGACAGTCGGAATGTGTTTTCTAATCATGCAACCTTGAAAATGTTAACACAGGGTATTCTGAATAACCGTTATGGTCTGTATCACTTATTCCGTCAAATCATCTCTCGATTCAGTTGGATAAACATTTGAACGGAAGAGACGATGCATAGTACGTGAGAAGTACTGCCATTGTCTATTTTAGGCATTCCAGAATGTTCTTTTGTTCAGTTTTCAAATGTTTAATCGAGAATTTTGTCAACAAATGTTTAAACATAGTCTGAAATGGATATCACCAGTTTGAAACTAGCTCAAGAAAGCTGCTTTCAATGTCGACTTCTTGTTAGTCATTTCATTGGTCGATCAAAGTTTGCGAAAGATCATTCTGACATGGCCTGTAATGGGATGTCCTCAGATCTTTGCTAAGCGGCAGTGAGAAATATGATCTGTTTTCAATGAGATTGGCCATCCTGAACAATTTAAACAGTGTATTTCCAGACTTTCTTGTAGTAAGAGTTATTGTCATTGCTTATTCATTATTTATTGGGGGCACAGGTGGCCCAGTTGTCTAAGGCCCCACGATTAGCTGTGAAGAGTTGGGTCCCTTGGGCATGCCAGAAACCTATGATTGTGGGTTTGAATCCGATGTTTCTATGTTTGTCAGCACCATACCCGTGCTCGTGGGTTTCACCGAAGTGGTAAACACCTGAGACCTGCATCACGTCGGGCTTTCCTCCCACATTAAGCGGCGTTAAACCCAACTCACTCACTCACTCACTCACTCACTCACTCACTCACTCACTCACTGATTGTGGGTTTGAATCCGATGTTTCTAGGTTTGTTAGCACCATACCCGTGCTCGTGGGTTTCACCGAAGTGGTAAACACCTGAGACCTGCATCACGTCGGGCTTTCCTCCCACATTAAGCGGCGTTAAACCCAACTCACTCACTCACTCACTCACTCACTCAATCACTCACCCACCCACCCACCCACCCACTCACTCACTCACTCACTCACTCACTCACTCACCCACCCACCCACCCACCCACCCACTCACTCACTCACTCACTCACTCACTCACTCACTATTGAAATTGTTATGAAAAGTCTCCCTTTGTATTTTGTTCTAGTCTGTGTATTTAAGTCTTTGATTGCTATTTGGAATTATGAGGACTATGTAGAAACTCATCCACTGGCCCTGCTGACATATTCTTTAATGTTTGTGTACAGGTTTCTGCCCCTCTGGGTCGGAGCAAGAGGAGTGGAGTTCGACTGGAAGTATGTGCAGATGAGCTTTGATTCCAACGTCAGTCTGGTGAGTGTACCATCACACTGGAAAATGGCTCACATCATGAAGTTGAAGATCAAATGATCAAAATTTCCAGAATGCAATTTTTTTCTTTCAACACTGTTCATTGAACGAGAGAAGTTCCTTAGCGTTCTTGTGTTGGCGTCTAATGTACTGTAAATCTTGATATTAATGTGTCTAAAAATCAATACGACTGCCGACCCCTAGCCCAAAATGCGACTCCCCTCATCCAATCCCTAGTGGAATGATACATATCCTTATCTTAATCCAACCTTAAATTAATCCAATCAAACACAAATAGCACCGCTGAGAAAAGCATTCCATAAAAACAATTAGGTGTTTTCCTAAAAACAACACACAGTTTATATGTTTATTCGGTCAATATTCGGCTCAATAAACCATGTTTGTGTTTATATTCAAGTTGGTATTTCCGCTATCCAAAGTGTGCAGTGCGACCGTCTTATTGTTGATTGTCATGTTGAAAGAGATTAATGCGAAGTTTCATTAATGCGAACAAAGACCAATCGCATTTTTCGCATTTAATTCACGCTCGCGTTAATTTCAAAATTTACAGTATTTAAACTGATGTGAAAGCAGTATTGTTTAAATCATTAAATAGGAGCAGTATCTTATTTTATCTATCCTCCCCTCGTGACCAAATCCTTGAAATGTTTTCTTGGAATTTATTATTGTCAGTCAGTCTCCATCTACATCATTGTAACTCACAATTTTGAGTGCTTGAGAGAGGTGGTACATTTTGCTGTACAGAGTTCCGTCCCTTAGCTGTTCCAGGATCTGGATTTGAATCCTAGATTCTCCTTGACATGACCCTTGGTCTGTCAGCACCGTTGCCTCATTCATGGATTTCACCGAAGTTGTAACCATCAACAAGTTGTGTCCCTTCGGAGTAATGGGCCTTGATAGAACTGAAACACTCTTCAAATAGAGTAACACTCACTCACACTTGCAATATTCCATTTTGACTGTCATTAATTTGTTTGTTTCAGATCCACCACATCAGTATGGCCATGTTGGTTTGGCTGTACTGCCGTAGTGACCTGCAGAAGTCACTCGTCCCCATCGTCATGTCCCTGCTGGCCCTCGGATGTTACAGACCCCTCATTGTAGAGTGAGTACTGGTGTTATAGTGGGGTAGTCTGGCTGTTACAGGCCCCTCATTGTAGAGTGAGTACCGGTGTTATAGTGGGATAGTCTGGCTGTTACAGGCCCCTCATTGTTGAGTGAGTATCGGTGTTATAGTGGGGTGGTCTGGCTGTTACAGGCCCCTCATTGTAGAGTGAGTACCAGTGTTATAGTTCGGTGGTCTGGCTGTTACAGGCCCCTCATTGTAGAGTGTGTACCGGTGTTATAGTTTTGTGGTCTGGCTGTTACAGGCCCCTCATTGTAGAGTGAGTACCGGTGTTATAGTGGGATAGTCTAGCTGTTACAGGCCCTGATTGTTGAGTGAGTACCGGTGATATAGTGGGATAGTCTGACTGTTACAGGCCCCTCATTGTAGAGTGAGTACCGGTGTTATAGTGGGGTAGTCTGACTGTTACAGGCCCCTCATTGTAGAGTGAGTACCGGTGATATAGTGGGGTAGTCTGGCTGTTACAGGCCCTGATTGTTGAGTGAGTACCGGTGTTATAGTGGGGTAGTCTGACTGTTACAGGCCCCTCATTGTAGAGTGAGTACCGGTGTTATAGTGGGGTAGTCTGGCTGTTACAGGCCCCTCATTGTAGAGTGTGTACCGGTGTTATAGTGGGATAGTCGGGCTGTTACAGGCCCTTCATTGTTGAGTGAGTACCAGTGTTAAAGTGGGATGGTCTGGCTGTTACAGACCCCTCATTGTTGAGTGAGTACCGGTGTTATAGTGGGGTAGTCTGACTGTTACAGGCCCCTCATTGTAGAGTGAGTACCGGTGATATAGTGGGGTAGTCTGGCTGTTACAGGCCCTGATTGTTGAGTGAGTACCGGTGTTATAGTGGGGTAGTCTGACTGTTACAGGCCCCTCATTGTAGAGTGAGTACCGGTGTTATAGTGGGGTAGTCTGGCTGTTACAGGCCCCTCATTGTAGAGTGTGTACCGGTGTTATAGTGGGATAGTCGGGCTGTTACAGGCCCTTCATTGTAGAGTGTGTACCGGTGTTAAAGTGGGATGGTCTGGCTGTTACAGACCCCTCATTGTTGAGTGAGTACCGGTGTTATAGTGGGATAGTCTGGCTGTTACAGGCCCCTCATTGTTGAGTGAGTACCAGTGTTAAAGTGGGATGGTCTGGCTGTTACAGGCCCCTCATTGTAGAGTGAGTACCGGTGTTATAGTGGGGTAGTCTGACTGTTACAGGCCCCTCATTGTAGAGTGAGTACCGGTGTTATAGTGGGGTAGTCTGGCTGTTACAGGCCCTGATTGTTGAGTGAGTACCGGTGTTATAGTGGGGTAGTCTGACTGTTACAGGCCCCTCATTGTAGAGTGAGTACCGGTGTTATAGTGGGGTAGTCTGGCTGTTACAGGCCCCTCATTGTAGAGTGTGTACCGGTGTTATAGTGGGGTAGTCTGGCTGTTACAGGCCCCTCATTGTAGAGTGTGTACCGGTGTTATAGTGGGATAGTCAGGCTGTTACAGGCCCCTCATTGTTGAGTGAGTACCGGTGTTATAGTGGGATAGTCAGGCTGTTACAGGCCCCTCATTGTTGAGTGAGTACCGGTGTTATAGTGGGGTGGTCTGGCTGTTACAGGCCCCTGATTGTAGAGTGAGTACCGGTGTTATAGTGGGATAGTCTGGCTGTTACAGACCCTGATTGTTGAGTGAGTACCGGTGCTATAGTGGGGTAGTCTGGCTGTTACAGACCCTGATTGTTGAGTGAGTACCGGTGATATAGTGGGGTAGTCTGGCTGTTACAGACTCCTCATTGTAGAGTGAGTACCTGTGCTATAGTGGGGTAGTCTAGCTGTTACAGGCCCTCATTGTAGAGTGAGTACCAGTGTTATAGTTGGGTAGTCTGACTGTTACAGGCCCTCATTGTAGAGTGAGTACCGGTATTATAGTGGGGTAGTCTAGCTGTTACAGGGCCTCATTGTAGAGTGAGTACCAGTGTTATAGTGGGGTAGTCTGACTGATACAGGCCCTCATTGTAGAGTGAGTACCGATGTTATAGTGGGGTAGTCTAGCTGTTACAGGGCCTCATTGTAGAGTGAGTACCGGTGTTATAGTGGGGTAGTATGACTGTTACAGGCCCTCATTGTAGCGTGAGTACCGGTGATATAGTGGGATAGTCTGACTGTTAAAGGCCCTCATTGTAGAGTGAGTACCGGTGTTATAGTGGGGTAGTCTGACTGTTACAGGCCCCTCATTGTAGAGTGAGTGCCGGTGTTATAGTGGGGTAGTCTGACTGTTACAGGCCCCTCATTGTAGAGTGAGTACTGGTGTTATAGTGGGGAAGTCTGGCTGTTACAGACCCCTCATTGTTGAGTGAGTACCAGTGTTATAGTGGGATAGTCGGGCTGTTACAGACCCTCATTGTTGAGTGAGTACCAGTGTTAAAGTGGGATGGTCTGGCTGTTGCCATGGTTACAGACCCCTGATTGTAAAATACCCCTGAATGTACAGATATAAGGACTTTTCACATCAGTATGGCCATGTTGGTTTGGCTGTACTGCCGTAGTGACCTGCAGAAGTCACTGGTCCCCATCGTCATGTCCCTGCTGGCCCTCGGATGTTACAGACCCCTCATTGTAGAGTGAGTACCGGTGTTATAGTGGGGTAGTCTGGCTGTTACAGGCCCTGATTGTTGAGTGAGTACTGGTGCTATAGTGGGGTAGTCTGGCTGTTACAGGCCCTGATTGTTGAGTGAGTACCAGTATTAAAGTGGGATGGTCTGGCTGTAACAGACCCCTCATTGTAGAGTGTGTACTGGTGTTATAGTGGGATAGTCGGGCTGTTACAGACCCCTCATTGTTGAGTGAGTATCGGTGTTATAGTGGGATGGTCTGGCTGTTACAGGCCCCTCATCGTTGAGTGAGTACCGGTGTTATAGTGGGGTGGTCTGGCTGTTACAGGCCCTGATTGTTGAGTGAGTACCAGTATTAAAGTGGGATGGTCTGGCTGTAACAGACCCCTCATTGTAGAGTGTGTACTGGTGTTATAGTGGGATAGTCGGGCTGTTACAGACCCCTCATTGTTGAGTGAGTATCGGTGTTATAGTGGGATGGTCTGGCTGTTACAGGCCCCTCATCGTTGAGTGAGTACCGGTGTTATAGTGGGGTGGTCTGGCTGTTACAGGCCCCTAATTGTAGAGTGAGTACCAGTGTTACAGTAATAAGGACTTTTCAGAAGTTCCCAAATTTTGAAATTTTTTAATTTGTTACCAATTGTCTGCAAAAGGCACATAGTATGGAATCCTAGATAAATCCCTGACATATCTTGTAAAATACAAAGAATAAATGACTGTACCCCAAAACACATGAAACAAAACAGCAACACTAGTACAACAACACCGTGCATGATTACCAAGTGTAGCCTGCTCACCGTGGACTCAACAGCATTAGGGGCGGTCGGGTAGCCTAGTGGTTAAAGCGTCAGTTCGTCACGCCGAAGATCCAGGTTCGATTCCTGACATGGGCACAATGTGTGAAGCCCATTTCCGGTGACCCCCGCCGTGATATTGCTGGAATATTGCTAAAAGCGGTGTAAAACCATACTCACTCACTTACTCCACAGCATTGACTAAGAATTCAGACACGTACATCACTGCAGTGAACTTCTGTAGCATGCAACACACTTGGGCAGCACACACTTCTAGCATGCAGCTTACCATGCTTGCGGTAAAAGGCGACTATGCTTGTAGTAAGAGGCGAATAACAGGATCGGGTGGTCAGGCTCGCTGACTTGGTTGATGCATGTCATCGTACCTGAACTGCGTGAATCGATGCTCGTGATGTCAATCACTGGATTGTCTTGTCCAGATTTGATATTCACAGACTGTCGTCATACAGCTGGACTATTGCTGAGTGCGGCGTTAAACATCAAACAAATAAACAAACAAACAAACAAGGTGTCACCTCCAGTTATTTAATGTGTATGATACTGAAGATTTTTTTCGTCTCTTTCAGAATTCTCATCCATGCTGTTGGGTTCGGATCATGGACATTGCTGATATCTAAAGCCGTTTTCACAGCCTGTGTTTCCATGGTTTCGCTGCAGATGTATCTCGGAATCCCATCTCAACTCCAGAATTCCTTCTATTGAGCTATACCAACACAACAGTTATCTCCCTTGTACAATGATGTAGTCGGCCAGTATGAACAAGATGGTAGGGTAGAACTTTCCACCAGCCTACAGACCAGGGCAGTTTGCCTCATGTTAATGGTATCCCAAAGTCCAGTCAAACTGGTATCAAGTCTATATTTCTGTTTGTTTTTGGAATATTTATAACATTTCAAGACTACAAGCTAAGTGCTTGCCTGTTACTTGTTTCACTGGCTTGGAACAAAAAACAGAATCTGATAAATATTTTAATGATACAAATAAGAATAATGTTTTGGTTGAGGGATTTTTAGAATGTTTATTTGCATGGCTTTTTTTGTATTTCCACGTAATTTCATTCCTAAAAGACATGATTAGTAGGAGTGAATATCAAGGGTTGTTTCTCACTATCATGAAAGTTTGTGTACTATCTCATACCTATATGATTATGCAAAACAATATGTAAATGCTCAAAAAGGCTTGCATTAGGCCAATCTGTTCTGATTTCAGAACAAGCATGTTTGTTTACAAACGAGAGAAAAGTCTTGTTTGATAGGCTTACTTAGAAGCTGACGGATGACAAAGTAGACACAATTTATGGATAACAATTTCTTTAATATTGTAAAGGCGACGTTTCGGTATAGATCCTTATACCGTTCTATTACAAAACGTCGCCTTGGATCAGGGTATGAAACTCCCAAAACTTTCAGCCAGTCCACAGGACTGGCTACCTGAAATACTTGCCAGCCCTGACCAAAACCTGCCTGCCCACTATAATCATGTGTTTCTCAGGATAAGCTTACGGGGTTTCTTTTTGGTTACATTTTATCATTCATCTTTACATGTGAATTAATGATTATCATCGGGAAATATTTAGAATATTTTCACATATGAAATATAACCCGACCGTCGGGCAGGGGGATTTGAAAATCTGGCAGCCCGAGTTGAAATCAACCCGTCTCGGATGGTCGGGCAGGCAGGTATTTCGAACACTGCTTGGATAAATTGTATCTACTTTGTCGAGAAAAGTCTGGTCACGTGACAAGCAAATTAGCCTGTGGTGTTATGCTTAGTCACCATTGCGCCGGAGTGGGACCTCATGCATGGAGGCAGCCATTGTGGTCAACTACAAAAGTGAAACTGGCTACTGGTTGTTTGTAAAACCAGGACTGATCTGACTGCAACAAATGAAATGAACTAGGCATTATCAGGTGTGAGAAGTTACAGTGGAGTGTTATAGAATAGTCTATACAACCCAACATGGGGCGTCTGTTCATGATCCATAACATGCTGGCTACTGGTTGTTTGTAAAACTAAGACTGATCTGACAAATGAAATGAACTAGGCACTTCTATCAGGTGTGAGAAGTTACAGTGGAGTGTTATAGAATAGTCTATACAACCCAACATGGGGCGTCTGTACATGATCCATAACATGATGACTACTGGTTGTTTGTAAAACTAGGACTGATCTGACTGCAACAAATGAAATGAACTAGGCACTATCAGGTGTGAGAAGTAACAGTGGAGTGTTATAGAATAGTCTATACAACCCAACATGTACATAATCCATAACATGCTGGCTACTGGTTGTTTGTAAAACTAGGACTGATCTGACTGCAACAAATGAAATGAACTAGGCACTATCAGGTGACATGGGGCGTCTGTACATAATCCATAACATGCTGGCTAGCGTCGGCAGCAGGCTTGGTGGAAACTGGTTTCCACACAACATCCTATTCATATCTGTGCTCTATGTTGTATTCCAGACAACTGTGTATATATATATGATGAGGCTGCAAGTCAGGAGAGGGTAAGATGATGTATGTGTTAATGTGTCTGACTGGATGTGTACATCATAGGTTTGTTGAAACTTCTGTTTGAGAGAGAATGAAAGTCACAAATTCATACATTTATGTCATAAAATCATGCAAGAGACAATTTGTGTATCATCCAAAGTACTCATTTCAAGAGCCAAAAATGTTGAAGTGTATTGATATATTTATCTAAAGTTTAGGCAAGTTAAATGTCACAGTCATAAGTGGCATCTTTTGATAACAAAAAAAAAGAAAGTATTTTCAACTTTAGGATGCCTTATAAGGATAGTACCTGTTTATTAGTTTGTAGTGAATCTCTTACAAGAAGACTAAATAACTTAGGTGTGAGCACTTTTTTAGCCATTGACGTCACTCTCACTCTGGGTGGACACACCTTGCTGAGTTATCTCCCTTTAGGTGCCAGGATCTGATGATTATGGATCCCTGTCTGACCCAAATCCTTGGCACAAGCGGGATTGGGTGGTCAGGCTCGCTGACTTGGTTGATACATGTCATTGTATCCCAATTGCGTGGATCGACGCTCTTGATGTCAATCACTGGATTATCTGCACCAGACTTGATTATTTACAGACTGCGGTTCATAGCTAGAATAGTCCTGAGTGTGGTGTTAATAAACAAACAAACAAATTATGGATCCCTGGACACCATGTGTGGCGGTGTCAACCTGTATGATTTAAAGCATTGCTTCCAAATTAAGCTGACACAGCAAATATATGAAGCAGCATTAACGATACACTGCATGCTTCCTTGATTCAAGGAAGGATACATTATTTTATATGGTACAGTCTGTGCCAAAACACTTTGTATCCGCCAGCCCTATTAAGGGTCCAAGCATCAGTAGAGGTCAGTGGTATTTGGGCTGTCATTACAAGACCTTACTATACTGAACAAAATTGTACTTGACTCGGGCAGGTGACTAACAGACTGTTCTAGGTAGTTTGTACTCTACTCTTCTCAAAGTCCAATTGTGCTGAGCCCCCTTGGTGTGTAGAAAGTCCTCTCTAGCCTAAATACTGTTACTATCACCCCCTACGCCAAACATTATTTCTGTGCACGCCACAAACCTACGAGCCAGAAACCTACAATCGTTGGTTCAAATCCCAGTTGGGGCACTGGTGGCCCAGTTGTCTAAGGCATGCAAGAAACCTATGATCGTGGGTTCGAATCCCGGTTCGTCCCGATTGTGTTTCTAGGTTTGTCAGGACCATATTTGGGTTTCACCGAAGTGAAGACCTTCACGTCTGAGGCCTGAGGCCTGCATCACTTCGGGCTTTCCTCTCAAATTAAACTGACATGCTGCGATGTAACTGTAATACTGTTAAAAGCGGAGTTAATCCCAACTCACTCACTCACTCACTTGAATCCCGGTTCACCCATGTTATGTTACTAGGTTTGTCCACACCATACCCGTGCTGATGGGTTACACCAAAACCTGCATCATTTCGGTCTTTCCACCACATTAGGCTGATAGGCCAGATATAACAGGAATACTGTTAAAAGCTGCATTAAACCCAACTCATTCAGTCAGGTCATAGTACAATACAATGAAGTGTGTAAGTATACAGGTCACCAAGGTGTGCTTCAAACGAAACTGGAGTAGCATCTGAAACTGAAAGGAAGGGAGATAACTCCGAAGTTATTTAACCCAACTTAGCTGAGGCACCCCATGCTCTGTACCTAGGTCCTATAACCTTATAGTAATGACTAGCTGTGAGACTGTAACCAGATGTGTATATTGTGTGCTTGTGCCGAAGTGTTTGTTCTTATATTTATATTATTATCATCACGATGATCTCATGGTCATTGTTTGCACTGGATTGTTAAAAGTCCACTTTGACTGTCGGTTAATTCCCTTGCCTCGGGAAGATGAGCCAACTCCGCATGTCTAGTGGACTGTGTGTGTATGGTCGGTTATGTCATGTAATAAATGTTTTATGTAAACAGAATTGAAGTGTTTCTGATTTTTTAAACTGGACTGGTTTGAGGACTGCTACATAAGGGGGTGAGGTGTTTGTCATAATCAGGTTTGGGTTGGACAAACCTGTGATTGATATTATGACCACAATCGCTCTCCATCGGGATACCACCGTGATTTAATTGGAATAATGTTCATAGCCTGTTGTATGAGGTGACTAACGGGATCAGGTGGTCAGGCTCGCTGACTTGGTTAATGCATGTCATCGGTCCCAATTGCGTGGACCGTGAAGATCCAGGGTAGAATAGGTCTTCAGCAACCCATGCTTGCCGTTAAAGGTGACTATGCTTGTCGTAAGAGCCGACTAACGGGATTGGGTGGTCAGGCTCGCTGACTTGGTTGATGCATGTCATCGGTCCCAATTGCGTGGATCCATGCTCATGATATTAATCACTGGATTGTCTGGTCCAGACTCGATTATTTACAGACCGCCGTCATATAGCTGGAATATTGCTGAGTGCGGCGTACAACAACAAACCAACCAAACCAATCGTGTGGATTGATGCTCATGATATTGATCACTGGATTGTCTGGTCCAGACTCGATTATTTACAGACCGCCGTCATATAGCTGGAATATTGCTGAGTGCACCTTTAAACAACAAACCAACCAAACCAATCATAGTGTGTTAAAACAACTCAATCACTCACCCCTCTACGATGTCCACCATCCAAGGTAATGAGCTTGACCATATTTGCCTTGTGGTATATAGTAACAGGAAGAATGCTGATGCGTGTTAAGCAATGCCCATTGAGTGATACAAGAAACAAAATGGGACGACAATCGACCTGGTGCTTTAACTGTAATAGCTCAGGGAAAATGTACTTGTTTACACTGAACTTTGGGGTAGGGCGAGCGTTCTTTCAAGATCAAGGGCACCCAGTGTACTTTAACCTGCGACAAAGTACATGTACACTATATGATTTTCGTCATAATTGGCTGGCACCAGGACACTGTTCAAAAGTTCACCCCCAACCCCACCACCACCATTATATGGCCAAATATTGTCAACCATCTCTCGTACTGTGGGCTTCACCAAAATATATCAAGCACCCATGATTGTTCTAGGGCGTTGGTGGATTCGGAATTGTGTTTGTCTCTGAACACAGGCATGAACAATCCCAATCTCATTAAAATCAGATCTTCGTTTTCGCTACCGCTAAACACGTCAGAACGAACTTTCGCGAATTTTGACGGACCAATGAAATGACTGACAAGAAATCGACATTAGCCAATAAGAAGGCAGCTTTCTCGAGCTTTACGACACTAGTTTCAAACTGGCGACTACGCTTCGAAACAAATTGACGTATTCTCGATTAAAAAAAAAAAAAATGATAAGAAGAACATTCTGGAATGGCTTTTGGATGGCCTAGATTGTATGGATAAAATCATAAAACCCGTAACTGTCGTTTGGAATACCGTGTAACTGTTAAATATTTCGTGGTTGCATGATTAGAAAACACATTCCGACTGTCATTCTCATGATCTGGTAAGCGACGCTCTGATTGGTTGGATGAAAGGTCTTTCTGACCTGACCCTTAATGGGATGTCCTCTGATCTTGTTAGCATTGCGAGAACTAAGATCTGATTTTAATGAGATTGGAACAATCCTTGCAAAGTTAATAAAGGTAAATAAAACCGACGGCTGTTGTTCTTCCTCCACCATGGTCGTCCCACGGCGACGCCATATCGCTTGCCAGAACGTCGAGTCACGTTAACGTTGGTTTGCATGTCTTGTATGGCAAACAACTTGGTAAACACAGTACTTCCTGGCTTGCAAGTGCTGCAGTCTGCTACCACGAGTGACTGAAGACACTCAACTCACAATAACCAGCTACACTTCTGGAATGTTTCGAGCCATGTAATAACTGAAGCAAATTATTATCAATTCATACAAAAACTTCACATGTTTTTAAAATTTCTTTTTATAGCAGTATGGATTCATGGATAATCACACACTGAACAGATAACAAAATGTTACTTAGCCATAACCATAAACACCAATCTTTCTGTTTTTTTAAATATTTTAACATGTCTGAAAGTACGTCTCTTAACAAAAGGGGGCAGACAATTAGGTGGAACAGCCACCGTCAATTGACCCTCATCAGGGATTTTGATTTTATTACCCACTTGGTGAAGACACAAGTGTAGTGGTAAGATACTTAATCCGTACGTAACACGTGTGTAGTACAAGGTTGACATCGTTTTATTCGCTTTGATTGGATAACCGCGTGACCTCTGTCACACCGGGACGACTTTTTTCATTCATAAAAAACACGAGACGTCATTCATTTTGCAAGGCAGAACTGAGACAATCTCATAAAAGCGAGAGATATGTCTACATATCCATTTACAATGTAAGATCATCTTATTTTGAGGGTCCCCATGAGCGTGACGCACCCGACCACTTTCCCATCTTTCAACGTAAAAAGATAAGCGTGGTGAAATGAAGTCAGTTTAGATATCTAGACTTACTTGGGATGTTCCGGTTGTGCCATCGGTGTCCCCTTTGAAGCGTATTTTCCGGCGCTGTTTCGGGAGTCGTTCGTTCACGACTGCTCGACCAGATCACTAAACGTGAACATTTCCGATACAAATCATTCGAAAACTCCGTAGAAGTGTGCCTGACTTCTGATTATGTGGCCAAAAACATCCCAAATGTGAACAATAACATTCCCTATCTCTAGCGTAAAGCGCTGTGAGAAGATGACGGTTGTCTTTTCTTATTCCGGTGGTAACCTTGCCCTTCGATCGTTCGAAGCTGTCACTGACATGCAAGCAGACTTGAGATTGTTGATTTTCACGTCTTCAGTATAGGGTGTAGGGCTGGGACGAGTCCAAATTTACTACCCGGGTACCCATCCCCCTATTACCCGACCCTACCCGGGTACCCATTGTATACGTAGGTCTCAAGAGATACAAAATGTCCGACTGGGAAATTGTTTTTACCACAGCAATTGCAAAACATATTTAGATACATGTATTAAACAATCTGGTCATTCATACACTGAAGTTGAATTAAGTTATATCTTTATTCAACCATATGAAAAATCAGAAGGAATGGGTGCATAGTCAGAAAGAAATGCGAACATTAGTGACATGTAGTGTAACCATAGAGTTCTAGATATTTTTTGGGCTAACCACGGGTCCGGGTAGTCCTGTAGGTACCCGGGTCCTACTTAGTACCCATCCGACCCGAGTACCCGAGTAACCCGTCCCAGCCCAAATAGGGTACGTGGTACAGTTAAGATGAATATCATTGGCGAACCCTCTTCCAAAATGGTACGGACATGATATAAATTCAGCTGATAGATCAAGAAACCCGAACCATTATGATATCACAGTCGGGACCCCGGCAGTGCGAGTGACCGGCTGTTGGTCCGATATTCAAAGCGCGGCGCTGATATATGTGACTTTTCAAATTTTCTTATAAGTGTCCTGCGTACCAACAACATGGTGCTTGGATTACCATATAAGTTGAAGAATGTCTTCCAAAAGGACCTTTAGCGTCGGTCCTGTTACGTTTGCAAACACAACTGCAGGCGCATGTTATTAATGCGTATGCATAGAAATGTCAACAATGCCCATATTTGGGCATATATCAATATTCATGCACAACCAGATTTTGCAACCGGTTTCAGTTTGGTCTGACAACGAACGAAAATTGTTATGTATTTACACTTAAATATATATTTAACGTGGCTAATAAATAAAATACCACACTCATTCTCGTATTGTATTATTTTTACGATGCCATAGAAAGTCCGCTCGTTTCGTAAAAACGGTATCCAACGAGAATGAATGTAGTATTCTCTATTTGCAGCACATTTAACTTTTTAAGAATTAATGCAATGCCTTATTTCAGATTTTATTCTGAACCCATCTCCAATAAAACACAAGGTTAATCTTACATTCTGCATCGTAGAAAAGTAACAGTCTGCTCTAGCCCACTTTCAGATAGGGGTAGTCGAAAACAAGGTGCTTTTCAGCGTGAAAACGGCATTAGTAAATTATTCATTCTAGAGTGCTTTTGTGTCCATTTTATCTTACGTCGCCTGGCGCCGTGCTTTACTTGTTATGGGGTTGAGAATGAGTGAGTGAGTTGGGTTTAACGCCGCTTTTAGCAGTATTCCAGTTATATCGCGGCGTGTCAGCTTAATGTGGGAGGAAAGCCCGAAGTGATGTATGTCTCAGACGTTTACCACTTCGGTGAAACCCAAGAGCACGGGTATGGTGCTGACAAACCTAGAAACATAATCGGTGCGAACCGGGTTTCGAACCAACAATCATAGGTTTCTGGCGTATCCAAGGGACGCAACTCTGCACAGCGAATCGCGGCGCCTTAGACGACTTGGCCACCCAGGCCCCCTATGGGGTTGAGGAAAGTGCATGGGCCATGGGGATGAGTAATCGTTGGAAAGATATGTAACCAAACTTTTAAAAGAAACTTTATCTTTGCCTCAATGTGTTAATTGATATGCGTACATGGAAATATTTGTTAACAAAGCAACAATCATAACAGGGAGCCACGTCCTGTCCTAGACTGGTTTATCTGCTCTAGAGCGCATGCGCTCCACGCCTGCAGCCGCGAGGAGGCGATCGGCAGGGTACCAGTCTAGCTCTGTCGGACGTATTTCCACATGCAGCATTTCACGCGGTGAAACGTTGACCCATTTCCGTGAAGCGGGTCTGTCTGTCGAGAGGGACAGAAACAGGCCCACAGCATATCGCTATGCTGGAAACGCTGAAAACTGAAATGAAGCATCTTCTCGTACCTGATTCTGAAGGTACCCCAAGCAAATTAAAAATACAACTTGTTTTACCATAAATTCTGGGTTACGCTTTTCGATTTATGACAGTATAGGTACTTGAATCAACAGGTAGGTATGCTACAATAATTCTTTGCCCCGTGTTAATCATGTGGATCAAAGTTATCTTGTTAGGCTATTTTAGGATTTGTATCAGGTGAGG